GTAAAGAAGAAAATAGTTGCATTCAACATGTACCTGGTTTTGATGGGTTCCCCAGGACTTTGTCTCCCAATCTGATCCAGAATTTCCTACAGGAACAAGAATATGAATGGTTGTATTTATCTTATATTTGTGCTTGGTTCTATATCAAGCTAGTAACCAATTTAACTTTGGAAAAGACAATGAAAGCTTCAGCAAAGTGTTAGTTGTCCTAACACACTACTGTTTCATTACCTGTTATGTACTTAAGATTCAACAATAACATTCTCTAGGAGAAAGGCATGGGCATGGAACTCAAAAGCAGTACTTTCGCATATCAGGTAAAAAGTTTTTCTTGACTTGAGTATCTGCTTAGTTGGTTTTTTGGTTTTTTTAAATTCATCTTTTGTTTTATTTTTTCCAACCTTTGTGTTCTAAGGGAGAGGCCACAGACAAACCTAGCATGATTCAAGATATGCAAGTGTTTTGCTTTTTTTCCCCTTGTAACTGTAGAGATTAAAAGTCTATTACTTTTCTGCACTGTTTGAACCTTAGCTTTTCTATGCATGCGGTGGATAGGAGAATCTAGGAGATGCAGCCAAGTAACAACACAAATCATATGGTACCTATTTATTTTTTAATTTAACTGATTCATTCATTGATTTAAAATCAAGATTTAACAAAATACAGTGTACTGTACCTGACGAGATATAAGAATTTCCCTCAACACCTTTCTGTGATATCTCTGTTGCTGAATCTATGAGAAGAGGGGCAAATTATCCTCCTGATACACAACAAATCTAAGTACTCCTATTTCACCTTGAATTTACACGATATCAAAACATTACTATTGGTGAAATATGTAGTCACTAGTAGCTATTAGTTTTAAAATGTAAATTTCCTGTATTTCAGCCTCAGTTCCTAGTTTCCTATGGTCTAGGTTTTCTTTTGATCCAAGTGACCTTAAAAAAAATCACCACAACACACAAACAAAAAAGAATTGTAAAAAGATCAACCTATCAATTTACCTTGTATTCCTTGTATGTAGCTTTGCGACATAACTTTTTGTACTTCACAACATCAGGATAGAAGTAGCCAGCTTGATCAGAAACCAAAACACATTTTTTCGATGTAAGTTATTTAGAGTTCTTACAATATATACTCAGATAAATCATGATGAAATTAGTTTATCCATCTATAAAGAACATGCAAAACATTTCTTTAGGTCTCTACATGTGTAATAAGCAATTATTTAGGTTGAGCATGATATCACAAATTATTAAAACCAAGGTCAGAGTTATCTGTTGAAGCCAAAGACTAATCCAGACAACATAGATATCAGTTTATTATGTGAATATCACACGCTATTATATATTGATTGAATGCTCTCAACCAATCAGATTTTTTATAGTAATGTATAATAACATAAAATATTGTCTGCAGCAATTCATATTTTAATCAAAGATTGCCTCAGAGACTGATATAGTTAAATAAATACCATAATAAATATATCAATTCAGGAACTGAACATGTGAAGTAAATTTATGGTACTTATTGTTACTTTTTTGAGAGTTTCATCCAGGGAGGCTTAATTACAGGAGTTGTGATTCTTGTTCCTAGCATGTGACCATAAAGTTAACTCAATCAAAACATTTGAAAAGATCAGTTATTTCCAATTTAAGATATATAGTGCAAAAGAATGCCCAGGATAAACAAAGATGCAAATCAAATAAGTACACAAAAAAATGTTGTTTACTGTGAGTCACCACATTATGAGTCAAGAATTGAATGAAATAGAAAGCATCTCACCTTTTAACTTTTCCTGAAATTGTTGAACTGGATTCCCAAATCTGAAGTTCTCACCACCTAGTAAGGCACTGATCAAACAAATTGTCAAGTGAATAAATAACTGTCTTGTAGGCTCTTGGAACAATCTAAGGTGTACATTCAATCAAATGGTAAAAAACTAGGCACCTCTAACATGTACCTCATGGTTCCAAATTGTAGAATTACACCTTACAATAAAGGTGCTTAATTGTAGCTGCAAATCTACCAAGAATTTTCAAAAGCATGTGTTCTAGTAAATGTTAGCCTGATCAATCAGACTTTTTATTTCTAACACCTGTCACTCCTAATTCCAAACATCATCAGCCAAATTGAACATTCTGACAATCCTGTTATAATCTCTGGTTAAATTATATGTGTACTTATAACAACCTGCATTGTTTTTAATCTTCATTACTTTGTGACTGTCAGAAGCTTATTGTAATAAGTTGTACTAATCTATGTAAAACTTACTGCAAAGACAAAACAAACATGAAGTCACACTGGAGCTAACCTGATGTTCTCCTCCTGAGCATGTGGGTAATCTGTTGGCAACACTGGAAGAAATTTCTAAGAAAGAAAAATGTAATAGTTCATTATTGACTCCCTACATTGTTTGAGTATCCTTACTATGTACAGATTCATTGTCAGTTTCAGTCAGTGTTTATCATTGTGTGATCTTGAATTGTTTTTAGGAGTAAATCATTCTTTGTTGACAGCTGTTTAAAACTTTTCCCGTTCTTTAAAAGTTTGGATATGTAGAATTTACACCTGTATGAGTCCTTATTTGGTTTGACTTGGCCAATGAAACAACCTCTCTAACCAACCATAATGGAACCATAAATAGAGGGGAAAAACTTCTTTGTCAATTGCAAAAGATTAATTTAGTGCTTGAGTTGACACAAAGTTTAACAGGCACTCAGAGTTCTTGTGAAGAGCCAATGACCACTATTTTAGCTGGCTTTTCAAATAAATGTAATCACCTACTTAACTGCGTTTGTGGTTAGTAGAGAGAGGTTTTTGGCTAATGAAAACTACTTGTTTACCAGTCATAACCCTGTTGGTAATACAAGTTAAGATCAAGATATTAAAATATTACAAATAATCATGAAAACTTATGACAACATTCTGCATATTGGACATTTACACAGAGTGATCTAGCCAATGAGGAAATCATTGCTTTACAAAGGTACAAAACAAGTTCAAGTTAACAAATACTTCATGACCTTACCAGTGACAACAATCTCAGCCTTACCTCCAGATGTTTTCTATCAGCAGGAGTAAGAACATTAAGCCAGGTTTCCTTGCTCACAACTTTAAAGAATATATCTTCCTAATTGAGCGGATCATTAAACACTGTGAGTGATTTATATTTTGACCTACGCTGTTGTAATAAATGTTAAATTGAAGCATCTCTATTTCAACAATTCTCCATTTAATTCTCCTTGCCAGTTAATCAATTTTGTTTACTTAGCAATTAAGTCAAAAGCTTTTTCCAGTGGTTCTAGTTTCAGCTTGACAGATCTAGCACACATGTTTTTCAGTAGATTAAGTTTAAGTCACCCTTGGCTATTATTGTTCCTGTTGTGTTTTTAACCAACTCCTGCGATTCTATGGCCTTGAGGATTTTATAATTGTTATCATTTATATTATTGCTATCACTTTAAAACAATTAGAAGTATAATTATATATTCTCTCAGTATCATTGATTTCCTATGTCTTTAGATATCTCTCTTTAGATATATATCGGCTAGAAACATTTATTCCACTGAAATTGAGATTAGAATGTTCGCCACTATTGATTCATCATTCACACTATCTTGTAATCTGTTGTCATTTAGTAATAAGTTGATTCACTGCTTTATATTTCTGTTACCATTCTATTATCGTGAATAATTCATCAATAATCACAGCTGATTTTCCATGATCTCTGGCCTTATTCAACCAGTAAACATTTCCTGCACACAAAATTCAACACGACAAGTTGTCGACAAGTGACTTTTGGCTCTTCAATAGTCACATCAGCTTTAGAAACTCTGTATGGTGGCCAATTAACATTATCAACTCAGTTGATAAATCCACACTGTCTTGTTATACTCCCCCACCTATGCAACACCATGGTTTCTTTAGAAATTTCACTCCCTTTATACAATACAGCAGGGTCCAGCCTGGTCACCTGCCATTTTACTTCAGTCACCCTAAGGCAACTGTTAGCCACCTCTGAAGAGTGCTCTGGTACACTAAGTGCTCTGGTACAACACTTAATAGCCATGTGTTCTTGGATACATTAATTTACTTCAGTGTAGTAGTATATGCAAGTTCTTGATGACAAACCCTTCGTGAAAATTTGTTGGATGGATAACAAAAGATCCTTTTCTGCCTTTAAATGCCAGCCAATCACTATAATTTCCAGTGAACCAACTCTTCATGTGTCCGTTTGTAAAGTTGACAAATTAAACATTATATTAAACATTATGCAACATTAAACATTATGAAATTAAATTGTTAAATCTCTGTTAATTTCCTCTACCACGTTACAATTTAGAACTGCGCAGCTTCTTGCTCGAGAAGGTGCAAGTTTGATAACTCAGTGGATTTTTAGTTTAAAAAAAGATAGGTTTGCAGTTTAGTGGTGTGGTTGAGCTTACCTGCTCAATTAACTCCAACGGGAGTGCAATTTCCGTTCCACCAAAATTACAAACTTCCATTCCTTTCAGGTCACTTTCTTCGAGGCTAGTCGCCTCCATGTTCAATTTTTTTTTTGTCACAGGTTCTGGTTATTCTCTTAAAACAAAAGAATTCCCTCTAAAAGAAAGAGGGGAACACGTAATCTGCGAAGTACAAAGAAATAACACGGACAGCTGACATACTACATATAGATGTAAACCGTACGCACACAACCCATACACACGGCCGTTACTTCGACGTTATGTATGCAACACAGAGCTGACCATTTGGTCAATGGCCAAAAATGTGACCTTCGAGGCCATTCTGAGAAAAAAAATAAGATACATTTGTAAAACTACACAAGTTAACTTTAAAATTGCAACTTCTTGTGTTGTTTAAACTAGTATAGTTCTATTTTGAAGGTGCCAGCAATAAGTAATAAACAAGTGGCCAATCAATCCTGACAGGTAGACAAAATACAGCCTTTTACACACCCAGATTATTCACCACGTAGTAATACCACTGATCTGTAACAATCTTATCCAAGAATGGCCTCCTGGTAAACCGAGTATGGTGAAGAGATGACTTACTCACTCATTGCAGCCTTGTTTGATTATTGCTAGATGCTGGACTTTAAATCACCATGCCTAAAAGAAAGGTAACAGCCATCGTTTTATATAAATACCAAATAAAAAGAAAGAAAAACGTCGAATGATAACTTACTCGGTTACGTGATTGTGCAGTTCTGTGTCTCCAGAAAAGTCCAACCTTTGAAACGAAAAAGAGAGTATCGAAAGGAAACGGTAAATAAAGTCTTTGGACCATAAATGCTCTTCTCAACGGTGGATATTATTAAAATTCAAACTCCTGTTCCGTAAAACTGTTTATTTGACTCAGCACAGGGATTCGGAAAGGCAGAATTCATGAAGAGCAATTATGGCTACATGTACTACCTGACTGCTTCATATTTTATTTGTTAGCAATTACGCGTTGCTGCAGATTCATCAGATGACTCTGATATTGAGGTGGATGTAGTGGAGATTTCTGACAGTAGCAGCAATCCTGCCAGGAGTCCTTTCCCCAGTAAAGGACCATCATCATTTCCTCAGAAAAATCAGACAGCATCAAAAGGTTGGGATCATTGTTAGTATCTGAGCAACTGTGCACCTACCCCTCCCCTAAGCCAACCAAAAAAAAATCTACTGATAACCAGTTAGGTTAATGTTGGGTTAGGGGAGGGATAGGTGTGTAGTTTCTCAGACACTGTCATTGATCTAAAGGTTGGATGTACAGAGGGTGTCCAGTTCCTATTGTTTAGCTATTTCTTAATTTCTCTATTTTTTTTTACATGTAACTTGAAAAAGTTTTTTATCATTTTTTTAATTTCCCATTGTTAGTTTAAAAAAATGCTGGTTTTCTTGGTGTATATATTTGTTTGTTTGAATTTTGATTAATATATTGAAAGGAAACAGGGAGGATACATTACCATTTTGGTTTGATGCAATACAATCAGAAAAAGTGGCGTTTATGGCAAGTAGTTGGGAAAACTGGAATTATGAAAATATTGTTATGATAACTGAGCTGATCTCTTGTTGTGAATGTGTCTCCAGGAAAACGAAGATCTACAAGGCTCAGTGCAGGAACTGTTTCTGAAGATAACAAACAAGGCTGCATTGTGTGTAATAGCCTCCACGATGAAGAAAATATTCTGCAATGTTCAAATTGCTGCACTCTGGGTATTTCTTAGTGTTTTAATCTAAAAGCATAGTATGGTTTTATATTTTAAATATAATGGCCTATATATTTCTTTTTTATGTTGTCAATAAATTATTTGTTGGAGCACTTTTATTCCAAGTTTCAAGTTAGTTTAATTGCTAAATATGGTTAAGATAATGGTGCTTGGAGAGAGGTAAAATTTTCCTCACAACGTGGAAGCTTTTCTACAAGCTTGTCCTATAATGTCTTATCACTACAGGCCTAGAAGGCAATGCATTGGCCAAACCAAATTCAACATGATGTACCTTCAACCTCACTTCCACTCTATACTCGAGCTGTAGTCTCAGAAGGAATTTTATCAGAAAAGTGAACAGCTTTGACTCGGCAAAATACTTCCACTTTTAAAAACACATGAAAATCTGGGCAATGCAATTTACAGTATTTAATAATAATCTGCTGATAAGTATAAAGTCCCCCTTGCCAAGGTTAAAGATTGTCCTGTTTTATTAAAGCACAGTTTAACCTACACAAATGGCTTTCTCTTTACACCAGCCACTTGTTTTTTGTCACAGTGGAAGGTCCATATATTACCTTGTTTTAACCCCTGTAGACTGCCACCTCTCCCTAATGGTATTTTAGCCTCCAAAGTACATCCCAACAACCAAATTAATCTCTCTATAACAACCAGTCAGCAGCTGACTGACAAAGTGTTAAACAAAATCTCAAACAACTCACTCAAGCCCACAGCCTAGGACACCCTTATTTCTAAACAAAGTATGAAGTGTCTAGAATACAAAATGTGACTCATGTACAACTTGATATATACTCACTATCCCATACTTGTTTTGTGTTTTTTACATCTTCTTTGAACATCAACTTTTGGTTTCTTTAAATTGACATATTTGTACTTTGTGACAGTTAACAACAAAAAGCCTCTGCTTTAAATGAAGTCATACTTGACAGCCCTTTTGCTCTGTCCTGAAGGAGGCCACTGTGACTCACCTTTTTTTACAACAATGGTGACTTAATTTTAAATTTGTTTTCAACTGATACGTAGTTATGGTCATCTATGATTTTTATGTCAGTAATGACTCAATTATTTTTTTTCCTAATTTAAGGGCACAGGTCTTGTTTGTCTCTTTCTAATGAAGACTGTCCAAGATTAGACAGTTCCTTGTGGCAATGCAGAGCTTGCAAAACCTGTTATGTGTGCAAGTCAGCTGAAAGTGAGGTGATTATATATAAAACAACAACCAAAGTGATGTAAAAGTTAAAATAATAGCAATAAGTGATCATTACTGGTATGTAACACTGAAATTTAAAAATAAATGTACACGCTGTACTTGTAACTCCATTCAAACATATCACCTGGAAAGTATGGTCTCTAGGTGAATCCTCTGTCTGAGTCTATTATCCTAAGTTTTATTTTGTATTATAACTTTCCTGCCTCTGATGTTTCAGTAGTAGGAGAGAGGGATTGTTTTTTCTTAAACATTGTCTTTTGTGAATAGAATTTTCATTTAACAGTCATCACCTCTATAGGGTTCTGATCAGTCTATTTATGGAATCTGTTTTAGTGAAAAAAGGATGTAACCAGTATATATGATCATTTCTGACAAAGCTTTCAGAGTGATTTCATTTTAATGACTTTTTCAGTCAATAATGAACAACTCATCTTAGTTTTCTTTCTCTTCACCTTTTGTCTGGACAATTTGCATCAGGTAATTGCTTTACATGTATGTTGAAAAATGACACTAGCTTTTTACATATAGCTCACAAACCACTATTTACTTTTCTTTTTTTTTAACTTGTAGCTTGAGACCTGTGAAACCTGTGATAGAGCATTCCACTTGCTATGCATTCCTTACTCACAATCTGTACTCAAGCAGTCCATCCCAACAATTTGTCCTGAGTGTGCATCAATGAACAATTTAGATGATCACGCTCTTCTGCTACCAGACACACAGACCCCAGTTGTTAAAAAAAAGCGAGGGAGACCAAGAAAGATTCATGTGTTGGAAAAACCACCAGTTGAAAACAAAGCGGAAAGCTTCCCCTTGGCATCTTTTACAGAAATAGGAGATGAGACTAAGGAAAGAAAGTCAATGAAGAGAGTGAAGAGGTGTCCAACGTCTGGTTGTAACGGGCTTGGTCACATGACAGGAAAATTTGAAATGCATCACACTTTATCTGGTTGTCCAAAATATCATAACATGACACCACAAGAATGCAAGGTAAATACCATACAATAGTCATTGTTTGTGATTTTTAATGCATAATATAGGAGACAAGAAATGTTCTTAACAGTGGCTGTTGTTTAGGTTATTTGGCTTGAGGCTTTTGTGAACAGAGAAAGGTTTTTTGTTGATTTATAACTTCTATTATTATTTGTAATTTTCATGTTTTAAAGAGATGTGAGAGATAACTGGACAGAAAGTGGCTGAGTTATGAATATCATGTGTGTCAACCACTTCAAATAGTAGTCGGTAAATCAGCCATTTCTGCCAAGGACCTCCTTTATATAAAGTTTTTCTTCCATCTTAATAAAATTGAAAATTCATTTATGTGTTATGTGTACACAGGAGTTTTCATTCCAAGAAAGAGGAAAAGTTAGCATGAGAAAGATCTTTGCTATAATGAACACTACTTAAGTACTGAAAATAAAACCATAAAAAAATTCAGGCCTGTGCGGGATATGAACCATTGACCTGTGCAAAATGGTGTGGTGCTCTTTTAAGTGAGCCAACAAGTAGACTGGGAGCTGGTCATTTTGTTGGTTCCAGACCAGTTCCTAGTTGGCTTGTTAGCTCAGTTGGTAAGGAATTGTACCAGTGTCACTAAGTCATAGGTTCAACTCCCATACAGGCTTGAATTTTCTACTAAGTGAGTTAATTTTCCACTAAGTGAGCTTACAAGCCAACTGGGAGCTGGTTGTTTTGTTGGTTCTAGACCAGCTCCTGGCTGGCTTGTCAACTCAGTTGGTAGGGCACTGCACTGGTATCACAGAAGTCCTGAATTGATTTTCAGTTCTGTTTAAGAAGTGTTCATTATTGCAAAGATCACTCTCATATTCATTTCATAATCCGCAGTTCACGTATATTGACTTTCAAATGTGTACAGTTAAAGGTGAAAAGAAAAACTGTGGAAGTATGCTATGTAATGACTACCTTGGGCAGAAATTGCTACTCTAGCTCTCTCTGAAGGTTTTTTTTTCTATTGTTTTGCACCACTAAATGTACTGTCAATTGATAGGAGAGGGCAGAAGAAAAGAAAAAGGAACTTGCAGTTTATCCAGACTCTAAAAAAGGGAAATCCAGTGCTTCACCTGAAGAGAATCTGCCACCAAAAAAGACATTAAGAAACAAAGTGAGTCACACACTGAATATCTTTTAAAGATACTTTTGTGCAATATTAGTGGGAGAGTTCAGTGTTGCAATGGTAGACAGCTCAACATAAAGCAAAAATTTTATTCTCAATTAAAGAGCACTATATTTTTGTGTGTACAGGTGCAGCTTTCCTTTATGCCAGAAAAGATCCGTGTGGCTGTGACAAGCAAAGAAATTACACCAGAAGAGCTAGGTTTACAAAAAAGTAGTGAGAGAAAAATAAATACATTGTCCAATGAAAGCCATCTTGACACTTCAAGATATTCTTGTGAAAAAGAAACAAATGGTAAAGCATTAATTGATCAGTTAGACCAGGAGACTCTGAAAGAAATAGCATCAGAGGGTGATTTCAAGTTGTTCAAAGAAGCTTGGACAAAGGCATTAGAGGCCAATGAAGAGGTGAGAAAGATGGCCAATGAATGTTCAGCTGATGAATGGGAACCATTCAGCCTCAACCTTCACCTTTCAAAAGCACTTCCTCCTTTACCTGATTACTCTGAACATGAGACATGTTATAAGTGTGCAGTCACTGAGTCATTAATTCTTCATGTTATTACTTGGTTCAAGATGCTGTTAAATGTAGCTACAATTCAGTTGTTTATAGATGGTGGTATGTTTTTGTAATTCTTCTTTGGGAACTAGCAGCTGTAGGGGAGAGACTGGGACAAAGTGGTCATTTGTCTAATGTAGTGAGTATGGTTGGGTCATTATCCAGAATCAAACACTTTTTTCAGCACAACACAACATTTAAGGTACACAACACTTGTACAGCAGTATGATTAACAAAGAAGCTCTAATTTGCTTTTCACAACTACAATGAAATTGCTAATTATTATACTAATAAAATGATATATTTTGGTGGATTTGTCATTTACATGCTTTATTCCTTGTGATGAAATGCAATCAGTGCATTAAAGTTTAAAGCTTTATACTTGACTTTTCTAGAGAAAAGTCAAGTGGAAAAATTTAATGACCTTCCAGCAATTTCAAACTTTGCAAACAATTTACTTTCTAGGAAATTCTGCCTTTGAATGGCAGATCTGGAAGCCGCTGTATTGAGTTTGGCTTGTATGAAGTTGATACGTGGTACTCATCACCTTTTCCTGAGGAATTCCAGAGATTACGTAAAATATACATCTGTGAATTCTGTCTGAAATATATGAGGAGCAAAACTGTTTTAAGACGACATGTGGTATGTGTTTAAACTTTGTTATTTAACAAAAGTGTATTTGTCATCTTTTACAAAGATGAATAGAAATTAATTGCCTGTAATCATGACTAAACTCTGAATTGCATTTCTAAACATTCAGTGGTAATTTGCACACAGAGCATGTTAAAAAGGTTTGTGACAAACTATGTACCTCTACTTGTAAATTTTATAACACATCTGAAATAACCGTATCAGCTCTATCAAAACTACACAAAAATCTATAAAAAAATAAGAAGATGGTAAGATTTGGCTGATTGACAGCCCAGCATTCTCTTGTCTGATTGGAGAAGCATTTCTCCACACTAATGAAGTTCAAGCAATTTTGGGTGGTCATAAATGATACTAAATTTTACTGATTACTGTCTAAGGAGAACACTGAATTTATTGTTATTATTCAATAATTAATTATCTGTGTCAATTAATTGGTGGTAGCTGTCCATATCAAAAAATTATTAATATTGGAAGAATCTTTTGTGATATAATTTTGTTGTTGAATGAGTGTGAATATATAAAAATCACAAATAAGTGAACTGCAGATTAATCAATGAAATCAATATAAAAGTTATCTTTGCAGCAATGAACACTACTTAAGCATTAGTGAAAATAAAGCCTGAAAAAAACTGAGGCCTGCATGGGATTTAAACCCATGACCTCTGCAGTACCAGTGCAGTGCTCTACCAACTGAGCCAACAAGCCAACTGGGAGCTGGTCATCCTGGTTTGTTATAAAGTTGCAAAGTGATGAATAAATGATGGTGGCAATATGAAAATCATATGTATGGCTTTTATTTTAAGGCTTTATTTTCGCTAATGCTCAAGTAGTGTTCATTACCGTGAAGATCACTCTCATAATCAAATTCATTGTTGATAAAGTTATAGCAAATGATAATGTATTTACTATTTGAGACTAAGGGAAGAAAAAAAGGGATTTGAACTGTTTATGCATGTTCGTGGGATGATTTTCCTCCAAGAATAATTTGATAAATGATTTTGCTGAAATGTTTGGTTCATTTTCAGGCTAAATGCAATGTCAGGCATCCACCTGGAATTGAAATATATCGGAAGAATGACCTCTCAATATTTGAAGTTGATGGAAAAAATCACAAGGTGAGTGCCACAAACTGTAACTTAAATTGAAAAGTGCTACATGGACAGAAAAGTAAGCATTTAACTCCCTTGAGTGACTAAGACAGAATTTTTCCATACAATATTAATACAAAATTGAGCAGACAAGTGATGAGAACAAAGAAATACCATTTGGATGAATTAAAGTTGATCTGATACTTAACTCTCCAAACTAACATCCTGAGACTTGTATGGCTGTCAGTAAGGAGAATTAATGATGAGATATTGGGATTGAAAAGGTTAAAAGGGATGTCTACTCTGTAATTGAATCAAATGACTTTGATTTGACTTGTTTGTCAACTTCCATAATCTTGCTACACTGTAATAAAGATCACAATTGTAAAAGAGTTGTACCATGCAGCTGCTAATTTTTACTAGTGCAATAAGAGTGTCAGGACTTACCTTGTGTTGTTTTTATTGTCAGGTGTATTGTCAAAACTTATGTTTGTTGGCCAAGTTATTTCTTAATCACAAGACCCTTTACTATGATGTGGAACCTTTTCTGTTTTATGTGATGACAGCTGTAGACTCTATTGGTTGTCATATGATTGGTTACTTTTCAAAGGTAAGACATTGATTGTTCTCAGGTATTGCAGGCTTGATAGGTTTTGTTAAGCAAGGGGAAAGAAGGATTAAGCTTAAATTTATAACTAGACTCAGACACAATTTGTTGAAGGCTGGAAAACTAAATTGGAGGGGTGCAGTATTTAAAAACACATCCCAAGCTTCCAAGGAAATTTATATACCATATCTAAAGCTCATCTTAACTTACATGAACCCACTACCCTGTTTTGGTTTGTTTTTGCATTACAGGAGAAGAAGTCCTTTCTGAGTTACAACGTTTCATGCATACTTACTTTACCAATGTACATGAAACAAGGCTATGGAAAAATGCTCATCGACTTCAGTAAGTTACTTCTTTCTTTTGTTGCTGATGTTTTATAGTTGTTAGACAGTGACTTTCTGTTTGCAAAAGTTCATCTTCTTCTGCTATTTTCTAATACTTTAAATTGTACTTTGTACTCAATACTTGTCTTCCTATTGGCTAATAACCAACAAATAGCACTAGAAACCAGGGCCCAGTCGGTCAAAGGGCAGATAACTCTATCCAAGGTATAAATTGCTGTCCGATGGATAAGTGTTAACAAAACATACTACAATATCCACTGAAAAGAGATATATCCAGTGAATAGCATGATCCACCCTCCCAACAACCCCAGCTTGAACAATATACAAGGTATTTGGTCACTATAAAGGGGTTAAGTTTCTAAATAAACTGTGGTACTGCATCGATGGGAGAGTATAACAGGCTAATTTGATATTAACAAGGTTTTCAAAACTGAAGTTTCGAGCGTTATCCCTTCGTCCTTCACAATGATGAAGGGCTAACGCTCGAAGCGTCAGCTCTGTAACTCTTAACGGTGGCCAATTTACGTTATCAACTCTAAAACTAAATTACGCTATTTGATAGCTAGATACTTTATTGCTTGCACGCGCAATGCATGACCTCCAATATGCTGAGTTCCAAAACAGTTCACACAAAGTTGACCTTAGTTTTATTTAAAAGGTATAGAAATTTTGTACAAAATAATATTTAGTTTTCTTGCTAATGACTGGAGTTACTTGTTTTGAAAGATAATGCAAAATTCTCCTCTCAAAAACTTCTCCATTTCCTTTCTTTTCTTTTAAGGAAAAAGGTTGATTGTGCTTCTTGCAGAATGTGCTTTTTTTGTTTGTGTGTTTTTTAAACAATGTACAATAATGAAATTGGTGGATTCGCTAAATAAGATATCTGAAGGCCACGGTAAATTTTATCAAACAGGGCTGGCACTTCGACCTTGGCCCCTACAGATATCAAAGCACCTTCCTCCAGTAATTATCTTTATAATTCAACTTTCATACACTGTACAAATTCCGATTTTCTGGTCGGCTGATTTGTACCACGTGATACTGGGTTGTGACAAAATAATCTCCTTGGGGTCATTATTGTGGTGTAATAGCCTTGGTGTAAATTCAACACACCACTGTTTAGAAAACACAGAAATTGTCGTCTGATCACTAGTTTTGCTTTTGATTTGTTTCATTTACGGTGCCAATATTTTCCCAGAAAAGGTGTCATGCGGTTATAGTGTGTGAAACATATTTCCTGGAATATACCACACTACCACATTTTTTTACTTCTGCCAGTTTCAGTGACTACTGATGTGTAATAAAATTCCCTTGACCATTGATCATGCAATTCCTGATCAGAAAGTGCTCGAGATCAGTTCCATTTCGAATTTGAATTTCCGTTTCACTAATACTAAGAAATGTTTGTTATCTTTTGGCGCTTTAGGTTATCTTCTATCGAAAGTGGAAGGGAAGGTTGGATCTCCAGAAAAGCCCTTATCAGATCTTGGACTTATTAGTTACCGCAGTTACTGGAAAAGCATTTTGCTAAAATACTTGAAGAATTTTGGATTTGACAGGATATCTATTAAAGGTGAGTTAGTTACATTTGGGGTCCAAAAGTTCTATTCTCGAGTGGAAATTCTCGTACTCCAAACAACAGATGACACCACTTTTGAGTGTGTGTGTGTGTTTGTCTGTTCGGTGCGCCCAAAAAGGTGAAAGGCGGTACAGAAGTTCTTTATTTTTCGTATTACACCGATCAAGGCGAGGTTAACAATTAATAGCCAGTGTGCGGGTTTATATGCAGAAAGTGGAGCTACGCCATTGGTGGGAATATGGTGACGAGAAAACAGGAATGAATTAGTTGTATGAAAAGCGACATGTAACGTCATTTCTTGCGGTCCCCTGGGCCTCGACCAATTGTGTGCTTCCTTTTCCCACTCTTAAACCCGGCTATTTATTTATTCAATTATTTTCGTCAAACATCGAGCCGGTAAGTGTATGTGTGACCGTTTCGCCGCCTCTCCCAGTATTCCATTTGAATAGTTTTCGATGTCTGAACTACAGCTAATATTTCCATCCTACATTTTACTTCACAAGCGAATGTTTTATAGTGTAGCCACTCATGTTTAGTCGCCCATTTAAGGAACACGAAGAGGCACAGTGTTTTCAAGTCTCAGTTTTTAAACTTTGCGACGAGGTAAAGTTTCTCGGAGTTCAGCCGTAATTCAGTATTTTTTTGGTTTGTTTCAGATATAAGCCAGGAAACAGCATTGCATCCAAGTGACATTATCAGCACCTTGCAGTATATGGGTATTCTGAAGTACTGGAAAGGAAAGCATGTCATCCTCCGTGCTACGGTTAGCGTCGCATGTAACAAAACAAACTAACGCTATGAACTTATTGGATTTCAGAGAATGGCTTAAATGACTCTGAAACGAAATACATCCAGTTAAATGTATGCTCCTCATATAATTCCAGACAAGTTCCAGTAAAGTTGACAAGTTGCACACATGCACACTGTCATACCCAAGTCTGACAAACTTAAGGGTTCCATTTTGACACTTTTTATTGGGTTGATAAATAAGAGCTAGTACTTGAGCAAATTACTCACCCGAGTGTTCTCAATGGACTTCAGATTGATCATCTATGATGGGGCTGATGTTATGTTCATGATCTTCACATCAAACTCGCCGTCTCAGACATAAAGTGTGAAATGATTGCTTATCAACCAAATTAAACCTGCCAAACGTGAAAACTCAACACGTGTGTTTCAGATCCAATGTCTCTGGACTAATAAGAAGGTGTACAGTATACTTTATTTCAGTGCACCTTTAGATTGACAAATAATTTATTATTGTCTGATATTCACAATTTTTAGGATCTGTTTGATGATTACGAGAGGAAGGCTTTATCCCGGCCTGCCAGCTACCAGGAAATCGATCCTGCGTGCCTGTCATGGGTACCAAAAGCCTCAGAAGATACAAAAATGTAATATTTTAGTTTGTTTGTTTGTTTTTCCAATGTATTTATCATGACTAGATTCAAACATAGTCTTATCTGTGAAGTGAGCCGATAATTTTTACATTTCTCAAAGTACATTGCTATCCTGTTCACAATCGTCTTCATCGGCCATATTTTTTTAAATATTAGAACTATTGATACATCAATTAATCTTTGTTCCCTAGCTGTTCGGCGCGCAATATTTAACGAAAGACTTAATAGAGAAAAGAAAAACGTTGATCTTACTAAATACTGGGTCTTTCTGTTATATCATAGGTGATATGTGCTAATTCCCTTTTCACATTTCATTCAAAGTTTATACCCTTTTTTGTACTATGCTTTAGTGTTATATATTTTAGTTCCAGTTGAAATTATCGCTGCTCAGGGCTGGTTTACTCATATTGTCATTGCTCTAAAATACACTATGTTCAGAATTTTGTTAGATTATCCTTTATGTTATCTATGTTGTAGGAACTTAGGGTTTTCATTTCATTTTAGCATGTTAGCATTAAGGTGTGCAACTGAGTAAAGTGAATGAGAAAAAAGTCCTGAGCAACGGACAGTTGGGTTGTCTCAACTCAATCCTGAGTTCTCGCATGTGCTCTTTTGTTGTGTAGTATAGTATATAACATTTTAAGAACTTTGTTATTTTGATCTCCAACGAAAATCGAGATTTACAGAGAAAACAGTGTATGAAGATTGTTGCTCAACGCAAAGATGTACAGAAAAGTCGGAGAAGATGGGGCATACTCAAGTGACCAGCCCTTTCCATGAATCAACGAGCAACGTGCTCTTTGAGCAAATTTTGTTATTACAAATGCAGTGCGTTAGCTAAGGGTTTGTTGTTGTTGCTGTTGTTGTTTTTAACACGCTCAGCCACCTCCAAATAAAGTGTTGACTGCACTGAAATTCGACGTTAAGTATATTTTCTGCGCGTGATGAAGGGATAACTGATGAACTTGAATGATCGAAAATTTGAGAAAGGTAATCTCCGGGAAGTTCCTGTACAGAGATCAACTTATGTTGAAGTAATTGCATACTTTATTGTTAAACAGATTATCATTGTTTTAACAAGAGTGCTTTTAACACCATAACCCAAAAAGCCGGCTATTATGGTAACAGACAATTTTTTCCACGCCGAATTCACGATGAGAAGTATGCTTTGATCAAAATCAATTTCAGCATGGTGCAAGTATGACCAGTAAAATTTAATTGTTGAGAAAGTATTTTTTTTTTGTAATAGAAGATACCGCTTGACCGAGGCTGCAAATTAAGGTCATTAGGAGAAAAGGAGATGATCAAATCATTTTTACATACTATAGCTGAATACTTGTGGTTTAGATTCATATACCAATTATATTCCTAACTCCAAGATAACGAAGTTCTTACTTTACAATATAACACACTTCTGCTGCTACCGATTTTGTCCTTTAAAAACCGTATATTCAGTAAAGCAGGGTCTTAACCCTCAGATATTTTACGACGAAAGTTTCTGTTCCTGTATGGGATGAGTTAAGAACCGTTTTCACGAATCATCCCTTCAAGCACAATAGTTGTAGCTTTTTGTCATTCAGATCCGAAGCAACCGCTTGCTTTATTGCACAAAACAAGATTCCTGACCGCAATTTTTTTTTATTATGGAAACTCAGTGTTATCGTTACACGAATAAATCTTTTGCATGAAATTATCTGAAAAGCTGCTGACTGTTCTAAGGTTAAAAAAAATTACATGTAAAATTTCTAAGTTCGAATACCATGCTTCATCATTTTCACCCGCATTCATATATCCAGGAATGTCATCGAGGGTGTTTTCCTTTCCAAGGGAGTAAGCTTTTGTTATTTTTGATACTGTCAAAACAGCAGTCATTGTCACCTAGTGTTTTTATGCAAGAACTCCCTCATCTGGACGATCACAGTTGTCCCATCAACAATTACTCTAGACTTACTCTACTCTAATGAGATAATTTGCTGGATCGCATCAGTCTTAACCAAAGTGAATTATCGCACACCATTTCTATCCAGTCTGTTGAGTTCCAAAATTCAGCTGGTGGGCATATTCTAAGAGCCCCCATTCCCCCATATTATGACAATATATTCGTTTAAAATTGGAAGCTTCTTTCTTTTTGTGATCCATTCTGTGTAGGGATTGGAAACAAATCTGTTCGCACCTGATCTAAACTTGAATTCTAACCCGACTGCAGAAACGTGTCATGAAATGAGCATATCGAAACAGAAATCCACTATTAGAAAAAATTGCCTAGCCTATGGAATACCTTTCGAAGCTTCAAAGAATGAGATGACAACGCCTTGAATAACGCGTTCTAGTCTTTAAGCTTTTCTCCCTTTTAAAGGCAAGCACTCACAGAGGATTGCGCAACTAATGAAGATTTACTCTGCGCGTGTTGCTCGGTACATATTTTTTATGCATTAGACTTTGAATTTGCCCGCTTATGTTTACTTAATAACTTTGAGAAGTTTTATCAGTATACACCGCCCTAAAGACCTGGTGTGTTTGTACTGCCTCTTTATTCCACTCCAAATATGCGTGCACGTTTGTGTTTCAGGACTTTCAGAGAGTATAAGAGCTCAGTGGGAGACGCTGTTGCGCAAAAGTCATGTTTAATTCCTGACCGGGTCATTGTGTCTTGTTCGTAGGCTGTGCACTTTACACTGACATTGTATGTCTGCACGCAATTTATCAGGGAAACCTTCATAAAACCTAATGGAGAGGGGCGGGGAGTTGGTGGTAACCTGTGATTGAAACATCTTGAACTCTTCCTTATTTAGCTGAGATTTATCTTAACCGTGGGCTAGATCACCCCAACCCACCCCTCTCCCCCATTGTCCTCTTGTAACATCGTTTAAATGATATGTGAGAAACTGAAGCGTACTGAAGCGTAATAAATATATTGCAGACTTTGAGACTTGAGTTAGGTGATAACTCCAGAATGTCTTTAGCTGAGATTTGCGGAAGAGCAAAAATTAATTCGAGGCACAGGGACGTGTCATTAAGTACTTCTTACAATAATTATGAGGAAAGGATACCTTTCGTGGATGTTGGGCTACGCTCATCGGATGTGATTAGGCCTTGTTACTACATATTACAGATTCTCGGCATGTGGAAGCCCTCCAACGTGAAATTTGAATTCGCCTGGCGGGTTTATCGCGGATTTGTGTTCTTTTTGTGGTTAGGATCTCTTGCAGCTGTTATGTGTTTGGATTTTATACATTACGGCTTTAAAAAGGAAACGATTCACATGGGTGAAATTATGAACAGTGTTCCAACATGCCTCAATTTGCTGTGTCCGTTCATTTTCACCGTCTATTATTTTAACCGTGGCCAGTTTTTGGAGCTCGTTTACAGCGTACAAAATGTCTCACATGAATGGCAGCAGAAGTTAAACCGTATTGCTCGATGGTATACCTTAATGTCTGCATCTCTATGGGCTCTTGGAGCCGTATTTTTCATAATTCACTGGCTTCCTTTCTTCTCTGAATTGTGGCACTATGCAGTCTACATAACCGTTGTTGTGTATGCTACAGGCTGGTGGGCAACGTGGCTCAGCGTTTATGGATTTGTTTGCCATGTTCACAGTTTACAAATTGATACTGTTATAGAACAAATGAAGTCTCATGAATTAAAACCAACAGAAATTCTGAAAAAACACCATCAATTACAAACCTCACTGGAAACAACACAGACAGATTTCAATATAGTTATTTCTTTTGCTTTAGCATACCATGTGGTAGATGTGATCACTTTTAGCTTTGCTTATTTCAGTTCTTCATTTGGTGAAAATTATAAACTCTGGCAATATGCGGGTGGTGTTCTTTTTGATTTGGTAAGCATTGTTGTCAAACTGTACCCCCCATCGGTAGTTGCAGCCGCGGTTCATCGCATAGTTGTGCAAGCCTCAAAGCGATGTCAGTTAAAGGTGACCTCCTGGACAGCAGATCTACCTGTTGAAGATATACAATTATTCCAGTATATGGCATTATGTGAGTCAGACATGGGTCTTAAAATCCTTGGAATTCGCATCACTGTAGATCTGACAATGAAGATTCTTATGACCCTTATGACTGGTGCCGTATCATTTGTAGCATTTGTTATTCCAAAGCTTCAGTAAGGTTCACCCATATAATGACCATGATGCATAAAACTGCTGAACTCAGACACTTGTCACTTGGGAGAACTTTCTGAAATCCTATGGGAAAGGCTATGAAACAAGCATCCATGTCTCTTGATAGTATTAACTTAGTGCAGGCATACTGAGCATTGGCTGATATTTTTTTAAATCCCAAACGAAGGTATCCCAAGCTGATGAACCAAGAAAAGCAAAAAATAAACTATTTATCTATCCATGAAAGAGAAATTTGTTGTGAGTCAACATGACTTTCTTTGGACCATATGAGGAACCAAAGGCAACTTAGCTATAGATGAGAATGTTATGAGGAATGAAATATTGTCAACTTGGAATGCTTTATCAAGTGAAACAAGAGCCCCTTTAACTCAATGCAATGCCTGTGGAACAATTGGAAACCATCAAATCTGGCCCTTTTGCAAGGCACCCCTTGGAATCCTTGTTTACATTGTACCCACTAGGTTCTCACAGTCCTAACCTCATTTTCAAGCAAAACATGCAATTCTTCATGCTCAGTGTCAGACCTGGACTCTCAGATCAAACCTGTTTATACACTCAGCTTCTGAAATTTGCACTTGGTGTGCAGATCCATTATGCTTTACTGTGGGCTTTCTATCAGTGCTGAAGTCAAGCATTGGTGAAATTCACCAATAGACACAACTCAAATGAAATATTTTAGTTTTTTTCTTTTATTCATTTTGAATATAAACAGCAGAGGTTTCTCTAGGCAATGTGGTTTTGTTGGAAATCATAGCCCAAGTAAGACCACTTAATTCAGAGTGAAATGACTCAAAGAATGGAAACCTTTGGAGTAATTAAGGAGTACCCCCTAGGCTAGGTAAATAAAATATAATTTCTTGAACAATTACTTAGGCAGGAAAACTGATACCTCAAGGGAGGATATCCTTTTGAATAAAAGAGAAGGAATTCTGACAACACTGGAGACTCATTTATTTCATGCTCTTTATCACATAGCCTAACAAACAATAGATGAGGAGCTTAAGATCTCTGGTTGATAAATCAGGGCGACACCCAAATCAACCATCCTGCATATCAAGAAATAATAATTTAATATTGTTTGAGAAAATTCTACTGGCTGTTTTAAAATTGTCTTCATTTTATTTTGTTCAAATTCACACTCTAAGGCCACACTTTCTACTTATGTTAGATGAGATGGCAAGTAAGGCAGTCAATCAGATTGAAGCATTTGTGATAAAATGCCAGAAGATTTATGCTCATGTGCATTATCTTACTGTCTTAGTCATATTGCTTTATTTTGTAAATGCATTTGAGAATTTTAAATACTTTCATTTCTTGAGTAATTTAATAATTAAAATTTATTTATCAATTTATCGAGATGAAAGATGCAAGATAATAAACTGGAGTTCCATCTTTTATTCACAATGCATTGAATCCTAAGAAAATACTCCTCAGCCTTATTTAATTATTAAATATTTACGACTCTTTCGTCTCTTTAGACTATGGCTGAACTTGTCATTTGATTAAGAATATAAACATACGGCAGAAAAGGAACCATTCCTATATTCTAACAACTCAATTTAAAGTTCCACATCTACAAATAGGATTCTGCACATTCACAATTTTCCCTATAATGAATGAATCATGCCAAAACATATTTCAATCTTCAAAATCTTTAATGCTATCACAAAAAATTACTCCCCCCCCCTTCAAATCAGAAAAAGGTCAATCATTAACACATCAGCAAAGATTACAGCTATCACTACAATCCTCAATTGATTCTTCAAATGAGCTGAAATGTAGAAAACCCTTTCTGTTTAGTAAAATGTGCACAGATAATTTCAGTTATGTTTACTGGTACTAGAAAATATTTGACCTCTGTAATTTATTTTGTAACATGCATTTACAAACATTATGATGGATGAAATATAGCTTGCACTACCGATTTCTTATGCACAAAATAATAAGCAATTAGTGGATGAGGCTGGGCGTGATATCCTAAATTATAAAAACCAAGGTCTGACTTGTCTACTGAAGCCAAAGGCTAGGGCAAAAAAAAAGACAGACACAAGGCTTGAGAATTCATCACATCATACTAAAGGTTGTTTTTTTCATATTAAATGTTTGTTTTTTCACACATGTAAAAAACAATCTACAAAAGAAGTAGTTTTGAGGTCCTCTCTCAGGCTGCAAAAGTTTGAGAACACTATATGGATGATGGGCTTGGAGACTAAGCACACTTTGATCTCAACATGATAAATGCAATATCAGCTGCAGATCTTGTATTTATCTTGTCAACTTCACTAGCTATTGTAAATTGATTGATTGATTGCCCTAGACCAATCAGATTTTCATTGTAAGTCTAAAGTACAATATTCAATAGCCACTAACCCCCAAAAAATTTCTTTGATAAAATACATTTCCTTGTTTTACTGATCATCACAGTGAAAGAATTTTTGCAATTGCATTAAGCCTCATTAGAGTACGCAAACACTAGAAAGCCAAATGTAATACAAGTTTCAAGGAACATAGTGTCATTGACCACAGATTCAATCCATTTAAAAGCAAGTGATGTCAAAAAATTAGCTCAAGAATCAAAAGCTAAATGAACAAGGTCGAATGGAGCCACCCTGCATACTTCTAGGGTTCTTTCCTAGGTTGTTGTGTGACTGCTTTCTTACTAAATGATGTGAATAATGTCAAATAGGTTCTTAGGATGATGTCTTAAGTCAACCTGTCCCAACTCCCCTAATTCTCAGTCGTTATCAAGGAGGCCAATTTCAGGATCTTTAAAAATTCATAGAAAAAAACCCTTGAATAGATGCGACTTTGCTATCCACAGTACAAGGAGATTTATTTTGTTCAAAAAAATTTTTGGAGTTAGTGGCACTTTAAGGGTTACTGGCACATACTTGGCCCACAAAACAAAAGCAACACCAATCATTCCTTTTTAACCAGTTGTTCTTAAAAAAGTAATCACAGGTCTAAGAGAATTTACCTCATTTTGGATATAATTAATAAAAAGTCAGCTGGGCAAGCATGCAAGAATGTACAAAAAGAAATAAATAAATAAATAGAAAACTCTTTCAAGTGGATACAAACTAACTGTGCATTTTCTTGGTAGGTTTCATTTTGTATGAATTCCACTATGCTTGCCTAGTCAACTAAAACCCTGATGTGATAATTCTTGCTAGCCAATCATTAAATGAAAGCCATTTGATTATCATTGTTTCTTAAAACTGTAAAACTACAACAACAAACATGGAATTTTATGTGATATATATTCAATGCATATCTCTGTCAGTCGTGTCTGTACTGTCTCTCTCAATCTACTGTGTGTAAAAGGAACAGCTGCTGTTGATCAAGAAAACAATAAATTGATTGTCATTGACGGTTCCATTATTTCATACTTCATGTATGATGATATTTTAGAGGGAATTAGAAATATAAGATTGAAAAGAACTACTGATACCAGTAATAATGTGGGTCAATGATAAACACTAAATTGATGGATTCTCATCATTTGAATTTCATACACAATCTAGTAATTGGTGTTCTGATAAATGCAATTAACTTCAGACAATTTTTCTACCTGTTGAAGCAACTACCAAATGTAAACATTTTTTTTTAAAGGTATATTTTAAATAATCACCAATAGTACCTTGAGGATGGCATTTATCAAACTGCAGATATTGAAAGTAAGGTGCACTCCTAGGAACTTTGAAAGAACACACACAACTTTGATTTGACCTTAACCACTAGTGGTTTGAGGAAGGCATTTACAAAAACCACAGGGAAACTGGAAGTAGTTACACTACTGGCGACTAACGATGAACCCATATGTACCTTTGATTTGACCATAGTTAGTAGAAAATGATGATTGTGAAAGTTCATGATAATCAAAGATACAAACAGTGGTGCTACAGTTTGTTCAAGGAGCTCTCTGAATGCATGTTATCTTTAAAATAATTAGTTAAAAAAAAAAAACAGTGACCAAATAAATCAATGGCGATGACTTTTGATGAAAGCAGTTACTGCTGAAAAAGATAAAAAGAACTTACCCAACAGTCTCAATATTTGGATTTAAGTCTATTGTTCTCTTCTTTTAATCTTTCAATCTCAGAGATCAAGGCTTCATTGACTGAATACTTTTCTAGCATCCCTTTTAATTCATTCTGTTAAAAAAAATTAGCAAAGCTGTTACTATAGAGCTGTTACTATAGCTTCACTAGTTCACCTATTTGTATGAAGGAAATGTAACAGTAACTATGAAATCACTCTCAATCTGTCTAACTGTGTTTTAGACACGAGTTGTGTCTTTTATATTTCCAGATTATGCACTATACTACTGCTTTGCTTTAATTTAGAAGGCTTCAATCCTTTGTTTTATCCTTATGAAAAGGTTTAGAGCTGAGAAGAACCACCTATGACAGCTTCAAGCTGTCACTATTTTGGCTGCCAATTTTTTTGGCAATTAAACTAAGTCACCAATATGACAACCAATGTTAAGTTGCAATGTAGCAAACTCTAATGTGTTTATTATTTGTGCCTATGGTCTCAGGTGACAGTATGAATAAAATTTGCATAAAATATAATGAGAGCTCCAATGTTTTCTTTTTGAAAATTTTTCTCTCTCTCCCTTTGGTTTCTCTAGTGCCAAGCTTTGAGAATACCTGATGAACATAAAAATATTGCCAGCTCGTGTTTTCTTTTTTCCAGAAAAAGTTTCATTTTTAGTTACCTTTTGATGATTTTAGATCACCAAATGGAAACTTTGAAAACATTTGAGCTTAGAGCCCTGACTTAAATTCAGATCCAGTTTAAAGCTATAAGAGCTAGATTGCTGTAGCAATAGTTTTACATTTTAAGAAAGAGCAAAATATATTTATAATACAATTCTTTGTAAAGAAAACAAGGATTGTTTCAGGCAGGATCATAATTTATCACCAATTCTTCTTCCTTTGCATTTTCAACCATCCATGCACAGGTGGCTTACCTAAAATTAAAGCTAACATTACAAGTTTCTTTTCTAGAGGTTTTCAAAAAGACCAGACTTACTTTCTGTATTTGAAACTGTCTCAGCATTTCAACCTGTACATTTACAATGTCCCTGTGTAATGCAACCCTACCAATACAAAGAAAAATATGTTGAACTAAAATTAAACAAAACTAATAGTTAAATAATGATAATAAATAAAATAAACATTGCAAGGTAAATGAACCTCATGAGAAAAATCAAATTCAATTTATAAATATCCTATGTACTTAAATTTAATGACAACTCCACAAGAGATTTTTCAACTGACAGCAAAAAATATTTTTCCATACGACATTGCTGTGGTTTAAATAACTTATCCCATTGGCAGTTGCTGGGGGAATAGGTAGCTCCACAGTAAGGAAACGTCGTCCCCCCCCCCACAAAAAAAAAATGTTAGAGAGCAATGGTAGAGAGCTGGCAACTGGGTTTTATTGAAATCCCTGCATTGAAAGATTGATGATAATGTTTCCATATGAATCACAAATTCAATCAAATTTTATACCTGAACTCATCCAGTGATTCATCAATCAGGTTCTTAATAAATTGTACTTGAAATGGTAATAAGCCTGCATTACTGGCACCAATTGCACCCACATCAGTAATTGTAGTTGCCATACCAACAGCTCCACTTGGTAAAGGATCTGGACTACGATTTACATTATCAAATATTAAACTCTCACCAGGTGACACTGAAAAAGATTTGACAAACAAAAAAAAAACGTTTATTACAATTGAAACTACTGATCAAGATCTTCTTTCTATTGAGTTAAAACTCAGTTAAAATTGAAAACTACAGTTAAACCCATATTAACTGGTCACCCACAGAGAATGGCAGGGTGTCTGCTTAACACAGGTTAACAGCTAAATAAAGGAATTACATTCAAGTTGCTGACAGTTCAACTCGCCAACACTAACTTGCCAACATATAAAATCGAGTAGAGACGTAGGCGGGTTGGTCTTCAATCCAGTACAACTCATTAGAAGTTAAACATAAAGAAAAGTAAAAGATCTTTCGTAAAAAAACAAATTTTTTCTTCCAATATTTTTAAGTTTTTAAGGATCTCTAATAACCAAAAAAGCTTTAGACACGTATGAGTTATTGTGTGACAACAACATTGTAAAGAATCATCATGTCAATCGCTCAGATTTTCAAAAAAAAAACTTGACTTTCTTGACAAGATCTTTATTAAAAAAATATACTAAATAAGTATTTATAAATAGTATAAAGCTTTATTTGCCTTGAGATCCTTATCAACTTTGTTGGAAGTAAAAAGAATTTTCTATTAAAGTTTGACATGATGATTCTTTACAGCATTGTTGTCACACAATAACTCATTTGCATCTGAAGATTTCACAGTCATTGGTGATGTTTACCTTGCTTTATTCACTATGGGATCCTTATAAACTTTGTTGGAAGAAAAAAAATTGTTTTTTGCTAACAATCTTTTCCTTTTCTATATGTTTAACTTCTAATAAGTTGTACTGGATTGAAGACCAACTTGCCGATGTCTCTACTCAATTTTATACATTGACAAGTTGAACTGTTGGTGACTTGACTGGATACCAAATAAAGCCTTCACAGAGCAGAGGTCAAACACAATAAAGACACCATTTTGTCCTCATAGTATCAAGAAGAAAGATAATCTATTATGCATTGAGAACATTTGAATTCAAAGTGCTAGCATTTATCTCAGGAGATAAACATGGAATAATTTTGATATCAGAGATTATTCATAGTTATAATTAGGCTGGTTCCACATAAAGTGACTGTTTATTAATACAGGTGGAAGACAAGCAGGCCATTACGACTCAGTTAAGGGTGACCAAGGCTGCTTACAGAAGAGAACACTTTATAGAGGTGAAAATTACAGTACTTAAGTGAAAGAAATTTTTGGGACTTTGAAAACCAACCACTTAATACATGGTGACAGCTGAAAATGGTGCCTCTTATCACAAATTCCACTTCATCTCTTTATTAACTTACCAGAAAATAAAATCCTCTATCTCGAAGTGGAGACAAGAATTAAAATAAAAAATAACTGTTTCATATATTGTTATTGAAATATTTGCCAATTAATTACAATGGCCTAATAACCTGAGTCTGGTACTTTAGGTCCTGTACTTTGGCCAACAGACTGATCACGTATTCTTGAACCACCATCTGCTAACCTTCTGTGATTGGATGGAGATCCAAGTGGTGACTGAAGAACGTTAAGACACATTATAGTGTTACTGATGATCAAGCAGTGATAATGTCAATACATTTCATCTCATATATGGGTTAATTGATAGCTAAATGTAGTTACAATCAACTGTTGATTATTGTTTGCTTAATTGCTTTAATTTACTTGTTATCTTCCTGTCAATGTAATATATTTACATTCCACAGAAGGTTACCTGTAAAAGGTACTAGGACCTGGAAAGTTTCTTGCTGAATAAGGAGGCAGAAAATGGAGGCAATGAAAGAGATGCTGAATTTAGAGTAAAAACTGACATTTTGTTGTGCATGCAGATACCAAATATGATGCAACTTAATACCAAGGGTTAATCTGACAAAATCTATATCTAATAGCAACAGTTTTTACCTATAAGACCTCCTAATCCGGGACAAGCCCTGGGTATGTCTTTTTTCTCTTGGGCAAAACACCTTTAACCTTACAATGAATCTCCCTTGCCTGGAGAACAAATAGGCCTTAACAAATTGTCCAGGAATGTGGTGAAACCATGGAGGTATATAAAGCTTGAAATGGACAGACATTCCATTCAGGAAGAGGAGGAACAATTATCATGAGAGAATGAACCACTCAGCTTGTGTTCAGGTTACTTGTATTTATTTATCAAAGAAAATGACAAAATACCTTTTGCCCACTGCTTTCTAGTTGTGCAACTAAATTTTCACTTCTGAGAGATCCAGAGGGTGAGATACTGATTAGTTGCTGTACATCTGCCTCAGCATGTAGGCTCCCTTTAGTAACCTGTGAATCAGCATATTCTCCAGAAAAACGTTTTCTCTGATTTCTCTCAAACTGGGCCCTAGTAATACTGGGTGACAGATTCCCACTGAAAACAGCATCTGATGAGGATTTGGTTCTACTGTCACCCACCAGATCCTGACCAGTGCTCGAGTCAGTGTGGGCTCTGGCACCAGGTGATCGGTTACTTTGAACAGTTGAAGCTGTTGCTTCATTTGCTGTGGTTACTGCAAGTGTTCTTGGTGAGTTTAAATCTTGATGTAAACTGTTTTTTGTTGTGGCTGTCACTTCAGCAGGGTGATGCAACTGTCTGGTTGACAGGGAAGACAGATTGCTCCCAATTGGAGAAAATATTCCTGATCCTATAACAGAAATCAGTTGATGAATTTAAACTTACACTGTTCCACAATCACTACTGAGTAATCAAATTAAAGATTGAAATAATTATTTAGCATCAACTCAGAGATTGCCCCATAACACTGCAAACAATATAAACAAGGGCTAAACAACAACTAAGAATACACAAAAGCCTCAGACAGAGCTGTAGTTACCACTGGGTAAGTTTTTCTTTTTTATGATTATAAAATAGTATACCAAACTTTAATCCTATACATCTTGAAATATCAGAAACAAATAAAAAAGCTCACAGGTTTTGTACATTTCTGTTTCTTTCACAAGAAACATTCATGAACAAATGAGAAGCATCTAAGCAAAACACTGAGACAAGATATGCTACATATTCAATTTCACAATTTGACTGTCCTTTACCATTACTCTTTCCCGGAAAAATCCATGTAATCTCTACAGATTTATAGACTGAGATTCAAATGACATTGTGATAGGACATGTGTAGGTACTGGTGTTAATTTACAAGTGAAGTCCAATTGGGAAGTAGATGTTACACCTTTTTGATGATCTTTGCAAAATTCTGCAAGCATCTCAAACTTTCTTGCTTAACTATGGTAGACGGTTTCACCTTAAGCAGGCAAAATGATTTGAATTTAGTTGAAAATAGAGTCTCAACCTAAACTTATTTTCTTAAACTTGCAGGTGACTGATAATTAGGTGAATTTTATGTACTTCTAAATTCAAGAAAAAATGCCATGGCAATATTTCTCTATCACTAAAAGTTAAAAAAGAAAACTCCAGAAAGCAACAGTAAACCTCTGGGTAAGGGGAATCTTCTATATTTAGGAATAAAAAACTGCTTCCCCCTCACTTCATTCTCAAACAGAATAAAACTATTTTTTAACAATCCAGTCAATACAAAATTTCTTTATAAGCAACATGTTGTTGCATTAGTGTTGTAAACTGCAAAATTTAAGAAAACTTATCAAAGTTATTATATACCCTCTTGTAGGAGAAAAGGGAACAGAATAAACCTGAATAGGGTCTGAAGTATACATCAATGGACCTGTTTTTTCTGTTCATCTTTGTTTGTATTGCTTGGTTTTCAGTTTAGTATTAAGAATTGCCTGAGAAAATCTCAACATGAGAGATGCCCCCAAGCTACCCTTACTCCCCTGGACATCTCTGCAAGAGCAAAGCCCCTGCAGATAGTATTAAATACACACATGACAAGCAATGGAGTTTTACAAAACAGTTTAGAGAGAAACATAGATCTGTTAATGATAAAGAAATTGATTTTACGATGATTTTCCATAATTTAGACAAATGGCCTTATTTTTACAATGAAATTCAATGTAAAATAACTTAATATTTAATATATCATTTCAGACTTACAACATTGTTCTTACCTTATAACAAATTCATAATAAATCATCACCTTGTGAAACTCTAATCATTATTTGTTAAAATAATTCAGTTTGAAAAAAAGTTACTAAGCACAGCTCTCCCACCTAGAGAGTAACTCTAGATGCAAAGAATCTTCTTTGCTATAACTGTTTCTCTTTGGTCATAAAAATTTTAATAAAGTTGCTTTAAATATGGAGAAGATATAACAATTGTCAAAAGATAGAAACAAAAATGCCACCTGTGACCACTGAAATAATATTATTACTGAAATATACCATGTGTGAAATTACTGTTAGGAGCTTGTTATATTGAAGTCTCCATTACAATGAGGTGAGGGCCTCTCCTTGCAGACTAACATAGTGTATACAGTAAATAGGTGGTAAAATGTATTTCCATGTAAGCTGAAGAATCTTTTCTTGGGAAAACGTCCCAACGAGCACACATCATTCATCAGTAAAAATTACCATTGCACTGATTGAACCACTGAATAGACATAGTTTAACTTTGGAAATGTTTATTTTAAGAAGTTTTTTTGCTTAAAATATGTAATGACTGCAATCTTAAACTAAATATTCCATAGCAAGAAAAGGGCCCAAAATATAAGAATTGTATCTTATCTTCCTTTGTCATTGATAATTTGGTATTGATCAAAATTATACATCTTCAAACAAAAATTTTAAACCCTGATCTTTCAACTCTTCTTTCAATGAATTTTACCATGTGCTTTAGCTAGAAGAGTTTTGGAACTGAACTGAGAGCATTTCTATACAACAAAGATGATTGTTCATCAGGTATCAATCTACCAATAAATTATTGATTTTCTTAGTATACAATAATTATTACAGTCTAACCACAAAATTGCAGTTACAAGGACCTGCTCCAAACTATATTTCATGCTTCAAAACAAACCTCTGTTTAAAAACATTTAGCCCTTCCTTTTCCAGGGGAGTAAAAATTACCCATTCCCACTGATGTATTTTTTAATAACAAATTATCATTACTTTAATTTTGCCTTTATTCCATAAGTCTGCTGGACCAAATCATCTACATTCATTGGTCATTACCTCACACCATTCTCTCAAGGCAAGTCATTTTCTATAATGAATTCCTAACATGTATTAAAAGCACCTTCATATAATTGGTAGACAACATGAAAGACAATTTATAGGCTGACAGTACTTGCACTCTTCCAGAAATAAAGTAACATCAAGGTTGTGAAATTTTTGTCATAAATTCAAACTTGAATTATGAAATCAAGTATAACATTGTTCAATTTTGCTTCATGATACTCAATAAATAATATTCTTCAACATTTTGCCTAATGATAGGTCACTACTAAGAAAACTATGCACAAAGAAACACATGCATCTTACCATCTGGTGGATTGTTTTCTTTTAAGTTGTATGAAGGAGATGCCTCTCCTGAACCAGGGAGGGGTGGCTCATTGGTTTGCCTACTGGGAGCCTCTACAGCTGCTGTTTTGACTAATAAAAAGAAATAAAGAAGTATCAACTTTTGAAACAATGGTGATAGAGAAAGTGTTAAATGACTGCTTCTTCTTTGCTAATTCATCTACATTGTATATGTATTAACCCTTTACACCCTAACATTAGTGTGCATATTCCCCATACTGTTCCCTATACATTTCCTAAGATTTTGACAAGAAGAATTTGTTTAACAATCCAGAGCTTCTTTCATAGGTCATCATTTCCTTTATTCTTGTAACCTTTATGTTTGATTCAGGGGTGATATTGTTTAAGGAGAAAAAAGATGCTAGTCACTCTTATGGGTAAAAGGGTAAGATAGATGAGCTTAATGATCCTTCAACTACTGGTCAAGAAATCCTTTAGGTAACATAAACTTATGTAGAATCAGTACAAGAATTTTTTCAACTCAGGGTAAAAAATTCTGAAAACTAGCTTAGTAAACATAAACCTGCTGAGAGAGACCTTTTAACCTTAGGAAAAGAACAAGGAAAAGAGCAGCAGATCTAAAAGCAAAGAAATGGCTAACATATCAAAAGACTCCACAATTTTAACCCTTTTTAAGACTCAAATATGAGAGTGATTCACTAATAGAATAATTGTGTACAATTTTTACGTACGCAACCCATCATCAAAGAACAATTAAAATTTTGCTGGAAAAAAAAAATCATGTTACTGGTTGGGTTACTTCCTAGCAGACCAACAATGCCCAAGTGTTTCCAAGGTGGACTTCTCACCCAGTGAATAACTCACACTTTCATTTGGCATTTCACTGATAGTTGATTAAATAGTGGTAGAAAACCATACAAAGAATTTTTTCTTAGTCACTGCATTAGGTAAAAAATATCTGCCTTCGATTTGCTTCTTATTGGCTCTTGAAACACTGATTTACAAACCTTCTCTTAAAGGAGAGAATAAATCCTCTGATTCTTCATTTTTAATTCCATTTTGTTTTGATAGTGGAGTGTGTGAAGTGTGATCTGGTACATTGACAGCTGTAATGGTTGGTACAATGCTTGTTGAAGCAGGCTGTGCTTCTGTTGGCACTGGATTTGGTGTAGGTTTAGTATTTGAAGTCACAGGTTTTGAGCTTTTGCTATTTCCTAAACTATTAACCTGTAGGTAGACAGAGGCAAGGCATTATTTGTTAGCAACAGTCAGCCACAACCATATTTGCAGCAATTTTAGGCTTTCTCACTCCAGCTACTAACACCTGCCCAGTTTAATCCCCAGCCTAGCTTTACCTCCATCCATGTAAACTTGTCAGCCAACAGAATATTCCATTGAGCACCCTATTTCTTCAAAACACCTCACTTCCTCTTCTCTTCTATATTCTTAAAAGGCCTTTACTGATTATTTTGCCATAACAAGTATTTCAACCTACACCATTTCTCAGACAGATATTTCCATAAAATCTTCTTTAAGGACTACCAGGACCAGAAGAAGAGGTTCTAACCAAACTGAGTTCAGAGGAATTTATTTTTTTGATTCACCCTCCAATTAAAAAGTCACTCAAACAGTTAATTATAGTTTAAGTGAAATGCTGATTTGTCCTTAGAGTTTAAAAATACAAAACCAGGGCTGGGTAAAGACAGGCTTAACTTTCCTAACCTTTGTCGATGACTGGAATGAAAGTGATTGAACAGATGTTTTGTGTGCCACTCTTGTGTTGACTGGACTGGATCCGCTACGCAAGTCATAGATGTAGATTTTACCTACAGATTCCAAAACAAGTTAGGATCAAATCTTAAGGTTGACCTTTATCTTTTTTTACAACTTACTGTGTAACCACGCTAGTATTGACAAAACTACAGGCAAGTTACTATGATTACCTTAAGCTTTGACTAAATGGAGTGTACATAATGGTTATTTGGCTCCAAATAGTCCTAGCCCTTGCAAGCATAACCAAAAACAAAAGCCCTTGCAAGTATAACCAAAAAAAAAACAAAGACAAGACAAAACAAAACAAAAAAATTAAAAATTTTTCATTCTTGCTATGGAAAGTATCTTAAGCCCACTTTACTATAACTACACAAAGTGGATGTTATGTAGTAAACTGAGATATGTTACATGAACTAAGGTTTTCTTACTGCCACTGTTAAACAAAGGCTAAAGAAATTTACATCAATGCCAAACAGCTTTGGATAGATTGTCATTTTCTTCCATAGTTATCCTGATTTTGTCTCCTCTAATCATTAGATAATAGCTTGTATTAATTTAACAAAGTTTCATTGCAGTACTTTTAGAGAAAAGACCAAAGAATTAAGATCATTCTGAAGTTTTCAATGCGTTAATAACCCTTTCACTCCCAGAATCTGATTGTTAATTCTCCCATCTAGCTGCTAACATTTCCTTGTACATCAGTTACAAGAATTTGGTGTTAGATTGAGATAACATTTTCTACCAGACAAATTTGAGTATTCTGATCACCTGTTTGCTGGATAATGGACAGATTTTAAAGGGAAAAGATACCACTTCATTACCTTTGGGAGTTAAAGTGTTAATGTGAGCCAAAAAAAGGAAAGTAAATACATGTGACTCACAAAAACAAAAACAAAAACAAAACAACGGACAAACACAACTATACCTCTAGTTGAACCAACTGCCAATGTTCCTCCATCAGACATAAAATCAACAGATGTCAGGGGAGATTCTGCCATCATAACTTTAACTGACCTTTGAAGAAACAGCAAAAAAATGAATGACAGTGGAAACAAACCTTGTCTTCCTTTTCAGGTGTAATGAAATAAAAGAAGGCATGTATGAACCACCTACATGTACATGTGGTAGTTCACGATAGTTATTCAAGCTAGGGTTAGAATTAAGTGGACATCTGTTTAATGGATGGGTTTTTACAAAGGGTATGAGGTGTTGACTTACACTATTTAAAACAAAGAGAAAATAAATAGCAACAGTAAGATAAAAGGACAATTTGAACTAAACTGTTGGTTGCTTGGCCTAAATGTATTGCAATACAATCCAACTGTTATATACACTGTAGTTTAACAAGATATCAGCTCAAAGTGATCTCAAACTAGTCTGATTTCCATTTTTACTTCTTAAAAAGACTGAAATGTAACTAGCAAAAGAAAAAAATTATATCAATTGAAACTAGTTTTAATCATTCTGACCTGAGATTAATTTTAAACTACAACAGAGCCCTTTGCATAGCATCATTATCTCATGTGACATTTTGTTTCGGAAGTTTGTTAGGGGAAGTGGCTCACTAGAAGCTTGAAGTTCTAGAAGGAAGAGCTTCATTGAGGATTAACATCAAAAAACTGTAACAACTGAATTTTAGTTATTAAAGAATATATAATCACCAAAGGAGGTTTATCAAAAATAACAAACACTATTTCTAAGGTGTTGAAAAGGCCACCAAATAAAATTACAGGGAAAAAACATAGTATTAATGTTAGAAAAAGCAAGCAAACAAAAAAAACAAAACAAAAAGAGAAGATACTAGTGTATGTAGTGATGCATATATACATGTACTGCATCAGATAAAATGGAACGATTAATTTTGGGTTGCTTATGATCCAAAGGGTTTATCTATTATTTATTACAACATGATAATGGTGTAATAGTACTACATTACTTTTTCTGCTGAACATCATAGAACACAATTCTTTTGTCGAGTCCCACACTACACAGAAGCATATCATTCATGGGTGAGAAACTTAATCCTGTTGCAGGTCCTTTGTGATCAGAGGCAAATGATGTTGATAGTTTTTTTGTGTTAGAATCCCAAAGATTAAGAGCTCCATCGTCACTAACAGCACCCAATAAACTCTTTTTGAAGTGTGAAAACTGAATGTCTCGCACTGCCTGTAAAGAAAAAAATTCATTTCCATCATGTACTTCCTTTTGTCAGCTCATAAGAAACTGCAGTTTAACCATTGCTCTGCTCTGAGTGTTACAATTCTGTTATCTTTATTAGACATTTCAAGCTCCTTTAGATGGATACTCCTGAGCTAACATTACAAGAACTAAAAGGATAAAATAACCATGTTTGAGAGTTTCAGCTATAATGGTACACTATGGATCAAAACAACTATCACTTTAAAATCACAAAAGACCACTACCACATAAATCACAATAATCTAAATATATGGCCAATGTCTAAGGTTTTGGTAGGATAAATGTACTGCTGGAAACACTTGTTTTGCTTCTTTTCCCCCTCCCATGCCCTGATATAATATTGCACAACACAGAAATGTTTTAAATTAGGACTGAAACTGCAACTAACCCCCCAAATTTTTTTCCCACCAAAATTTATTCCTTGTCTTACTGATAACAAAGTCCAAAACAATTAATGTTGCATCTATTTTAATTAGCTTTTTTTTTTAAATAAGCATTCAAAGACCCAAAAAATTGGCCTTAATCATGTTTATGACCAAGAAATAGGGGAAATGGGGTGGGTTGGCTTATGACATCATCACAAGAACCAATTCAACATTATTCACATCATTTAGTTAGAAAGCAGTCACACTACAACCCAACACACACTACAACCTACATTTTCTTTGTTTTTGAGTGACTTTTCTCTCCCAGTAGAATAAACTTCAGAAATACATTTCTCTAAAATTTCATCTAGGTGTCCTCTATTCTCAAAGTGTATTTTTACAATCTAAATGTCTTTGCAAATGTAGAGCATGAAAAATTTGTTCTTAGGAAGCCTAACACTTCTCCTATAACAAATCATTTTGCCTGAAGGATAATGCAAAAAAAAAAAAAAAGTATGTATTGGTGGATCACCATCTCTCTGTAATGTGTCTGTGTGTCAAGGATCAATTCCCTGTGAATCTCTCAACTATGCTCACTTTTTCTGAGGCAGATTTACCAGCTGTGAATTTGTTCATCTGTTGTTTTATATGACAGGTTCTCGGTGTGCTGTTTGTGTGACTCATGCTTTAATCCTTTGACCTTTGTCTCTTGCTTTTTGTTTTTTTTGTTTGTTTGTTTGGGTTTTTTTTCTTTGTGCAGTCTTCAGCTGCTTTTATTTTATTTGGGTTATTTTTCACTCTTGCTGTTCATTTCTAAGGAGGCAGTGAATGTACAAGTATGAAATTCAGTTTCTCTATTGCCTGCTGATGTTCCCAAATTTACAAGAAGCTTGTTACCTTTGTTCATTTTAGCTTTTGCTTCCAAGGCTAATTTATTTACCTCACTTGCTTCTAAATAGCTTGAATCTATGGCCACTAATTCTGTGTTCTTTGAAAGTTCTACTACATCTATCTTTCTAGTTTTTGCTTTTGCTAGGTTTCTGAGCTTTGTTGTAATTGTCTCTCACTGCATCTGTGGTGAAATTTCACCAGTACTCCTGCAAGGTCATGCTCTACTTCTTCATCATGCCTAGATATCTGATTTAAAATCTTTCTCAAATGCAATGTTCACACTTGCATTGTATCTTAGACTTTTTGGGCATGTGCCCTTCTTGAGATGAGCTTGTAAGAGTCCAATAGAGTTTTTTCTCAGTTGTGTCCACGTTCCAATGATTATATCAAGCCTTTGATTTGGGCACACAATTGATTTTCTCTATCTGTGTCAAATTCCAATATATTAGAAGGTTTGAATACTTCAGAGTCATATTGTCATTATACGAGTTTGAGTCTTTATATGACTTGGTTTTATGGAAAGTCTTTGATGTTTAAAGAAAGTGAAATTCCCAAAAGTATTTCCTGTCTTGGCATTACAGCCTTGTGGCATGGTTCCTGGGATGACATAACAACCTTGCCTGACCCAAGATGCAAGATGTGCCATTGTGAACATAAAAAATTTAGCTTTGACTGCTTGTAGAATTGTGAGGGTTTATTCGATTGCAACTATTCTTTTATTGTTATGATAAGAAAAACAAGGAAATTTCTTTCATCAAAAAATTTATTGAAGTGCCACTTTAATTATCTTGTGATACTTCTATATTGAGAGGGGGTGGGTCAACCTAAGAGACAAATTGAACACAGAAACTTGAATAAGTGCAACACATGTTGATATGCAGGTGCATTCCTTTCCAAACTTCATGTACTTTTTTCTGTGATAATAGTTTCATTTTAATTTTCTAGACAACCAGTAACTATGATTCTTGGCCAAAAGACATTTCAAATCAAATATGAAATTTAAAAAAGTAAAAAATTCAATATTTGTTTAAAGTTGTCCTTCAGTAGCATGTTGATTACATGGATGATTTGACTGAGGCCCTTGTGCTACAGAATTTCTTTTTATTTAGCAATTCTGATCATTATGCATAATATAAAAGCAATGTAGGTGATACAAATTATTAGAAAAAAAATAGGGACAATGAGTTCCAAATGTGGCGATGCTCACACACAATAACAAAGAAAATCCTTATGACTAATAGTGAAAACAAAAGATCTGAACAGTCTAGTTTAAAATAAAAGGTCTCTAAGTTCAATGCATTCTACCCCAGGATTAAGTTTGGGTGTACACTTTCAAATGCCTAAATTGATCATAAGTTGACAGGGTGGTTTTCCTGTACAATAGTTTTGACATCAATGCTAATGTTGGGATGTTTTTTTTACAGACAACTTGTCATGGCTCAAGTGTTCTATTGCATGATAACATCACCTACATTGCTTTGAAATCAAGCAGAGTGGTATATTTTATTTTATTTACATTCCCTGAAGTAGCCAATGTTGTATCAGAAAGGCAAAAAATTGGAATAATACAGAACTACAGTAGTTCTTAGCCTAAATCTAATAGTCCATACATGTACAATGAAAAATGACAGAAAAACATCCTAGGGTACATCTACTACATACCTGTGTTTTGGCTAATCTCAGAGGATCTGAGGCTTGTCCTGTCATAACATTGTGAAGAAGTATGTCTCCATTCACTGACCCTGACGCAATAGATGTGTCATTCCAGTTAAAAGCGACACAAGACACAATGTCCTTGTGATCCTGTTAAATAAATTATGTACCAGTTTACTTTAGTGTCCATTTCATTGGCAAATCCAGCCAAAAATACACATACTACAATTGTTTACACAATACCATGATAACAGTATACTGTAATTACTAACAAGGTATTGTATACCTGCTACAAAAGTGACAAACAAATTAAAAGTATAAGAAACTAGTCACAATTTCACTTCACTATCCAGCAAACTGGTGATGAAAATAGACAAAAGTATCAGATGAGGGAGGGCACAAGACACAATACCCTTGTATCTCACTTGTCAGCTGTGCTCACTCATGAAATTTCTGATTCTTTCCAACCTATGCGTAAATAGCATGTGGACACACTTTTTTTGTATTCTTTATAAATATTGATGATCTCAGCCCAGAAGAGACAATTTAGGTTGGGATGCTTTCTAAATTTGAAATTTCATCATGAAGATATTGAAATTTAAGTCGATTTTACTTCCTTATGTGAATTCAAAGTAATCTATTAAAAAATGAATAATTTCTCACAAAGTAATTGAGGTTTCTCTTCATATTGTGACTTACCTTATATGTTTTCTTTACACTTTTTGTTTTCATGTCCCAAATATTAAGAGTTTTACTATTTCCACCAGTAAGCAAATAACGAGAAGATGAATTAAAGGCCACACAAGTGTTTCCTTCCTGAAATTTTCAAAGAATATAATAAAGCAAATGAGCATGACATAATTCTTGTAAGAACTAAATGAAAAATATAAATAGTTACAGAAAGCTTTGATAATATCTATCAAAAAGAGAGTTAGTGGTTTCCTTAACAAGGAATTGTTAAGCAACATGAACTTAAAGTAATTGCACTCACCCCAGCAGTAATTTCAGCAGTATCATACTCATCCCCCTTAACATATGTGACAACAACTTTGTCATTAGCAGCACTAGCCAAACACTGATCTGACAATGTTAAGGATTCACTGTTCGACAAAATTCCCACATCAAATAAAGAAAGAACTACAGTGGTATTCTCATAACCAATGCCAAGATTCATATATTATGTAAGATTTTCTAACATCCACCACACTTAGGGACAATTACAGTCTGCTAAGAAAAACTCTTGGGTAGGAGGAGTGTTGGCAAACTGTTCCAGGACTGATTCAGAACCTTATCATTATGTTATAAGTTTGTAAGCATTGTCATCTCTATATAACTTCCTTCTATGTTTATTCTCAGAGAGGAGGAAATTTTTCATCCAACAAGAAAGTCTTTGAGCAATCCTTCCCTCCCAAAGCTACACTTAATTCATCAGAAAAAAATTTTAAATATTTAATAAATAACATCTACTAATGAATGAGTTTAAAACTCTCCTCCTGAGGCTTTGGAAGGTTTAGACTCCACTGTATCTTGTTTAGTTTTGTTTTTGTGTCCAAGCACCTTCCATACGACATGCAACTCTACCCTCACTGCACAATAGCCAACAAGTCATTTTGTTCTAAGCAATTTAAAACCTCTCTTTAGTAACAAAAATTTAGGATGTTGGAATGAGACTGTTATCTGGTTCAACAATGGCTCATTTGTAACAACAGAGATTTTTTTTTTCCTTCACAGAGAAGATCCTACTCTTCAAAGAGATTTACTACACTTTAATTTATAAGATATCACAAGATTCTATGACCTTTTCCAATACTTTTTTGATATTCATGATTACTTTGGATTGAAAGTTTGGTCTCAAGATTAGGTAAAAATAATCATTAGCAGAAATGTACTTCTTTCTTTTTTCACTCACAGAAGAATAGTTTTCAGAACATTTTCCATGGCTCTTTATGCCCACACCCATAATCTGGTTCCTTCTTAGTTTTCCATAGCCTTGGCGAACCCTTCTGTGGCATCATCTTTAAGTGTAAATATCGCACGGACTCCAACTACAATATTAGCAATTCAAATAATTAAAAGTATCCACTGCCCTAAAGATTCTTTAAACGAAAACAATCATTAATCGAGGCCATTTCATACCGCAAGCTTGAATAAATACATGAAGAGAATACTGAAAAATGTAAAATATATCATTTAACGAGATAGGATTGTCTAGACGAATAAAACACACTATGATATAAAGCAAAAGATACTGTTGGGGCTCCAACACAACGAACCCACAGGTTGAGAGTGAGGGCTGAAGGCTTTCGCTATGTTCAATTCTGGCATGTCCCAAATCTTTACATCGCCTCCAGATGACGCAAGTCGTAACTTTGTAGTCATCCTAGCCTTTTTGACCCCCTCCTTCGCTCAGTCCGTTCTATTTTTACATGTTGTGCTTCGAGAAGTAATTGACATCCGACATAAGCCCAATATTACCGCCATTTTTTTGTTCGCACTCACCCACCTTCCCATGATACTTTTCGCAATATTCTTATCCACTGACCAACAATTTATTGGGCTCAGAGCCTATAGTGCCATGGTCCCTGATAGTTCCCTAGATTTAGACACACTTTACTCGATTCGCGCGGAAAAATGAAAAACGATCCGAATAGATATCGTCGCGCCAGATGCGTGACCATGAGGCAAAATTCAGAAAAAAGGAGTTGTGGTGGGTGCTTGAAAAACGGAAACTGGGCGCTCTAGTTGGCGGAGATTTCTTAATTTAAGATTAATAACTGCAACGCCCCTGAACTTACCCGTTCATTCAACAACACACAGGGAGCAGAGTTGTAAATATGTGACCGTGTTTTCCTCGTAATGGGTGATTTAGCTCAGAGATGCAAATACGCTTCAAGCTCCTTGAGAGCCGTTGTAGTTTTTGTGACACCGGGTATAGCAATGAAAAAAAAAACGACTTTCACGCTGTTTCGAGCGTTAGCCCTTGGTCTTCTCTACCTGTTCTGTTTTGGATATATTTTGAAGCTGTTTTGACGAGTTTCAAAAAATTCTGAAACTTGAGTAGTACTGAGTTCGCAAGTCGATAATAGGTTTGTTGTACACTGATCTCAAAGAGGAGAGAGAAAAACAGACCTGATCCAATCACGTCCACTCGATCACAACTGATGATCACGAGGATTTCGCGCAATTTCCTGAGTCTACTGAGGTCACTAATGACACAACTACGTCTGCCCTGGAACACTAATGAGAAGCTTTAGATACAAAAACATATTTCACATTTTAAAGAATACTCTCTCGGGTATTTTTTTCCATCTACAGGAAAGCGAGTCTAACTGAACCGCTCTAATTACATTATCTGAGACGGGAAATGACAAAAGGATGATTTAATGCACAACGCTCCTCGCCGAACAGTCCCATGAGGGTTCCAGGAAGACTGCGACGCGATCTCGAGGTTTTAATAAAGCATTATCAGTGATCATAGGCGCTAATAAATAAAACAACAATACAACAGAATTTTAACGAGGTCTAAGTGAATAATTATGTCCACTGAACGGCTCAAAACAAGAGTTGGATGGTTAAATGCTTACGCGGCGCTCTTTTGATACAGCTATTGAATAAAGCTATTAATAAATTTTAATTATCCGTGGACAATTAACCTTGCGGCAAATCAAAACAAAGGGTTTTTTTTTAAGCAAAGAGGAAAAGGCTACTGGGCTTTCCAGTACAAAGACTTACTTTTAATGCTGTATTTTGTTTGAGGTTTTGAAGTTTTTTTTTTTTTACCTCCCTCTTTCAGAGCTTGAGTACTATTTCGATTGCCAAGCTAAACAAAACTTAACCTGTCTTATAACATCTTATGCGTATGACGCTTACATTCACATATTATGATACTAATTCATTGTTACTTTCCTTAGCCCAACCTTATAAAATAATTTGAAAAAGAAACGGTTGCTTGTAATGAAACTGTTGGTTGAATTGTAACTAATTTTAAATTGTTCACTACTTTTGGTCTTCATTATCATTCCAGAGGTATTATTCTTTGTCTTAAAATCGCTGATTCACCTCCATATTTCGACCTCGATCAGATAATTTTTTGCGGTACTCTTTCAACACTCTGTGGAATCTTTTTGTAAGGTGCGCAATATGTTTCACTCTGTAATTAGAGACACGCGTTGAAGGTTCATATAAAGTAACCTAATCTGAGTTATCCTCTGATCTGCATTGCAAGGAAGAGAAAGATCTCTCTTTCTCTCAAGCTTCCCCTTTTTTAGATCAACGAAATCTGAAAACTGTTTCAAATCTATGTTTCGTCCAATGCTCGAAGATTACTTTGGGAAAAAAGAAATCCTAAATGCAGGGAATATATTGAAAAGTAATTCAAATGTAACTTAGAAAAATAAAATTGAAGTTTGAATGCGGGGAAAAAGTTGAGTTTGAATGGACTGTCAAGTTACACCAAGATCACTGCAAAAATGCCAGAGAGAATATTACAACCAAATAACGATTACCCGCTGAAAAGCGGCCTCTTGACGCAAAAAAAAATCTACGAAAAATTACTACTTTTCTTTTTTAAACAAAAATGTCTAAATAACGCACGGGTTCTAGTCCGCAGGGATTTAATCACTGAAATTCTGAAGTGAAAAGGTTAAAAGAATTTGAATGATAGAGGGCGTGATACATGCTACAAAGGCAATAATTTGTTCACATTCGCGTGCGAGAATTGAGCGTCTGATTGCATCAGATCAAACGCCGCTTCTCATTGGCTCTCTAGTAAATAAGTGTAAAATTGCATGCCCGCGCCAATATAATTTAGCTGAAGAGTTTATGCGCAAACTTCATTTCCTGACTCAGCGTCACTCAGAAAGGACCTCAGTTTTACAGATAAGAGCTGTTACCAGTGCAAAGTGACAGACACTAGACATGGCAGAAAGAATCAAGCTTACAAGAAGACGACAGGTACATTAGACTCCCTTTCCCTCTTTTAGTTTGCTTTACGAGTGTTTCCTCGTTTCACATATTTATTCCTACTGTTTCCTTTCAGCAGACGACTAAACCATTGCTGGAAAGACAAAGAAGAGCGCGGATAAACCGAAGTCTTGAGGAGCTCAAAAGCTTGGTTTTGTCTGCCTTGTATCATGATGTAAGTTTACCTGGTAAACTTTTATGACTTAAAGTCCCCAATCTCATTCTTATCAAAGGCAATAAGTCTTATTTGAACGTTAAGCCAGCCACATTTCGTTATGCATTCCTTATTCAAACACTTCTACTTTGCTGTATTTTTCTTTATTCTACGTGAAGTCTCAAATAAGGGTCAATATTACACCTAATATAAGCCGACAACCTAATCGATGTTTATTTCATTAACAGTTTGTAAACAATTTGTTTTTATCTCGGTAGAATGATCACAACTCCCAAAAGATGGAGAAGGCCGAAATACTGGAGCTCACCGTGAATTTCTTAAAAATGATCCGAGGGCAACAATTGACCGGTGAGTAAGTTTCTTTTGTTAGCTTACTATAAAGCCTGTACTGTGCGATGAACCCAAACGCCCGACATCGTTATGGCTGCAACTCGCTCAGCCCTTTGTTTTGTCACATAGGTTATTGGAACAATCCGCAAAGTGAGCCGGAATCTCAGCATAGCAACAATAGAGCAGGATTAAACGAGTGCGCAGGTAGAGTGCGCAGCTTCGTGGAAAACCAACCTGGAGTGAATCCTAAACTGCAGGAACAAATACTTGGAAGTCTGGCGGCGTCTTACAGCTTCAATTTCCACACTAATCAGACACTAGTCAACAAGAGCACCTCCGTGTCCTTCCCTCCTGGCCAAGCAGTGTACGTTAGTGGCTTACAAACCACTGCGGAGTCGCCGTGTACCTGTGCCTTTACACCCCCGCCATCTCCGCCCCTGTCAAGTGCATTCCGCCCGTATGACCGCCGTGAAACTACTACATTGACTGACGCGAGTGGCAATTCACCAGAAAACTGTTATTCAACGGCTGACATCAAAAGAAGCATGGAAGAGCCATGTAAACTCCCGCTCTGGAGGCCTTGGATTCAGTCTTCACAACAAGGACAAATTTAATTGTATGGTTCGTTGATTTGCAATGGTTTTGTACACTGTACTGTAGATATTCCTGCAAAACTTCAAATTAATAATACACCACTTCCGTGCCGGATGAGAAGAAGAAAGACAACGGAAGATCCGATGAGCACACTTGTTTGAAAAAACACAAACTGCAGAACGGAGTTGCCTGTCGTCGAGCGTGAGAAACAGTTTTATAACAAAAAATTTAATGACCATTGGTAGTTACAATACAATACATGGCTACTTTTACATGTAATTCATACGAATATTTCAAGAAGATCGATTGATGCTTCGATCAGGTGTAAAAATTATCATTAAAATTCGTTGGCGCTGTTTCATTAACATGAAGGGGTCGGAGGTTTGAATTGTTTGCTTAAAGGAAAAGTTTGGCTCTGGACGTTTTGTTGCTCGCAGAGTTCAACGCTGCTCTCCAGCCCCCCACCTCCCCCACCTCCCCCATAAAGAAAAACAAAAACAAAAAAAATCGTAATTGTAAGTTGCTTCTATCGTACATAACGGGAAAACTTGCCTGGCATTTTTGGCATCTCACTGTAACAGAAACTATGTAAATGAAAGCTGTGGGCTACGATGGTGGTGATGAACACAAATCCGGGCGCCTTGTGTTATCAAACAGACTGATCAGAGGAGTGCGGTTTATTTTTATCTTTTTCGAATGAAGAAAAGGAAGAATGGAAATTTAAGATAAGAAGTGGCGGTCTAAAATAATTTTTGTTTGTCGGTCTCTTAGTTTTCCGGTAAAAGTGATTGTTTGCTGTCGCTTCTGATGATTCAATCTCGTTCCCAGATTCTTACGTCCATCCTAGCACGACTGCAATGTTCGCTGAGAGCAAGATTGGCAAATGACATCATTTCTTCGCAAGAATGCTCCTCCTGCCTCCTCCCCCATCCCCCCACTCCCCATTTTTTCCTGTCCGTTTCTCCTTATTTTCAATAAATTGCCTCGTAGTGTGTTTTCCCCCCCCCTCCCCGGCAACAACGAGAGGTCGTTGGGTGGGGAGGGGCGGGTTGGGTATTATGCGGATGACGTGTAACTCAAGATGGCGGCTACGTTCCAGCGTTCGGCAGTGACCGAAGGTCACGAATGAAGCAGGAATGAGGTGATCTTTAACAGGACAAGATGAAGCGTTCAAGGATGAAAGGTACTTTTTGTATGCATATTAGCAGGAATGGTAACAAAGATATGGAATCGTTCATGATGAGAAGCTGACTAACGCTAATCCTGTTTAGAATTAGACATGGTTTGATGCTATTCTGGTTTAAAAGATTTAATGAATGTAACCGAAGAAGTTACACTCCTGATCTAAACGCTGCAACAAGAGGTCCTTTTATACGATCTCTAATTAGTTTAGATCACTGTTGATGAAGGCACTAGACGGGAGTGTCGAAACGTTGGGTCTATGAATTGTAACTTCTACGGTTACATTTATCAAATCTTTAAATCAGAGTAGCATCAAACCATGTCTGGTTGTCCACCTGGTTGCCATGTGTATTTTAATATATTCTGTTTAGAACTGTTAAGTGTTTTAAAGACTTTTTTCAAATTAGAGATCAGGGCCGGGAGAAAACATTTGATGTGACCAGTGTTTGTTTTGAAAATTTCCTTTATGGAACTTGCGCTACTGTTAGCAGATATTTCCTCAGGCTTGATTAAAGTAAGAGGCTTCTGCCTAAAAATAAGTGTGCACACATCCTCAAACATCCACTGATACATATCATGTGCCTGGCCTGACAATGTCCTTTCTTGACACCTTGTAAATTTAATAGTTTTAAGTGGAGGGGAGTGAATTGGATGACTGGAATCCTCTGATCTGTGTTCTTTATTAGTCCTGTAGGAAATATTTCGTGGAAATATTCCTCTGTGTCAGGTGTAGCTTCATTGACTTGGAGCGTGGTTGTTGATTGCTCAAATGCTGTCAATTTTAGTGCTTGCTTAGACTCATGTGGACTCTAGATTTCATATGCATGAGTTTCAGTCATGGTTTGTTCTTGAATTCTTACCACTATTATCACTTGATACAGTTATCCATGAATAACCAGTCTGAATATTATTGAGGTTAAAATGGTTATATGATAGAGCACCATAACATGCAATCAACAGCCAACTGTCTTATTAGTTTTAACAAAATTTTGTTATTTGGCCACATCACTCAGATGTACTACTTTTGTAATCATACAGGATGGACTTTGGATATGTTTACAGTCAATTCACCACCACATTAAACTTGCCACCACTGATATGATTTGACTCTCAGTGGTAGCAAGTTTTGTGGTGGGGTCAGTTTGTTGTGGTGGCAAATTGACCGGATACCCTCTGGATTTGCCAGTTTGTTTATTTACTATCATTTCATTAGTTCCCAGTTTTAACCAAAACTTTGAGTTAATCTTTAACTACTGATGTTGAGTATGATATGCACTATATCTTTCCAGTTTAAAGATAACTTGTCTCTTTTGTGTAACAGATTTGATGGTGGTGTGACACAGGTTGACAAACTTTCTTTTAAATGCTTTTTTTTTAATCATTTAATTGTATCAGCAAGCAGCTGGCCAATCTTGAAAACTGGCTTTCTGTCTCTTCTAATGTTGGTAGAGATGTTGCTACTCCAATTCACACAGTGATAATTGTACTAGTACATCACTTTGTATTGCATACCAATCTTAAAGTACAATAAAGTTTTGAAAAGGGCTATACAAATGTTATATTCTTCTATAGATGGTTGTAACAGGCCTTATAATGCCTTATATATGGCAGGAGACAGTTAGTAACCAGCTTTCACTCTAATCTTGGCTTTATTATGGTAAAAAAATTTTGAAATTGTCTTAGAGTATTTTAATTTATTTCAGTGCATGCAAATTTTTGTTCTTAATTTGGTGTATTTGGTTTTGTAACAAAAAGACCTTTCTGTTTTATTTTCTTTTAGATGCAAAGGACTTAACAGAGAAACAATCAGAAGCAAACAAGGACATGGCGAAGTGTTCCATGCTGGGGGATGATTTGAATGCTAGTATTTCATTCCATGATCACCATGCAAGTGCCGAAGAAAAATTGATTAAGTCACAGAAGGATTCAAAAGGGGAAGAAGGAAAATTGACCCGAAATGTAACACTCCTGCAAGGCGTGTCACTTATTGTTGGTGTAATGATAGGTTCAGGCATATTTGTTACTCCACGTTTTGTCCTTCTGCATTCTGGTTCGGTGGGAATGACTCTTTTGATTTGGATTATATCTGGAGTGATGGCAACTTTGGGAGCTCTCTGCTATTGTGAATTAGGAACAATGATTCAACGTTCTGGTGGTGAGCTAACATACATCCAGGAAGCTCTAGGGCCTCTTCCTGGCTTTCTTGTGAGCTGGACAATGGTACTTATTTTGAAACCAGCCTCTGTTGCCATTATCACATTGAGTTTTGCTTCTTATGCTGTCCAGCCATTTCTTGGGAACAACAACACCGAACCTGAAGACCTCATCAAACTTGTAGCTGCAATCTCCATCATAATAATCACGACTGTGAACTGTGTGAGTTCCCGTTGGGCAGGTCAGATGCAAATAGTTTTCATGATAATGAAACTCCTGGCAATTGGGATAATAGTGGTGATAGGAGCTTCAAGAATTGCTAGTGGACACAATGGAAACTTTGAGTCTCCCTTTAAAGGAACTAATACAAACATTGGAGAAATTGCACATGCATTCTTTAGTGGATTGTGGGCTTATGATGGCTGGAACCAACTCAATTATGTGACAGAGGAATTACAGAATCCTCACAAGAATCTCCCTCGTGCAGTAATGATTGCTCTTCCTCTTGTCACTATTTGCTATACACTGATCAATATAGCTTATCTAAGTATTCTGACACCAGCAGAAATGTTGTCATCCACAGCAGTAGCTGTATCTGTTGCAGAGAAAGTTACACCCACCCTTGTAGTTGTTATGCCACTGTTTGTAGCATGTTCCTGTTATGGTGCTGCTAATGGCTCCATTTTTACTAATGGAAGAGTTGTTTGCTCAGCAGCCAAACAAGGACACATGCCTCGATATTTAGCGGTTATCAGCAAGCGTTTCCACACTCCATTACGTGCTATAATGTTCCCATCATTTATTTCCATTTGCATGTTAATACTTGGTGATCTGGATTCCTTGCTGAGCTGTTTCAGCTTTGTTGCATGGATTTTCCTGGGTTGCACATTCCTGTCACTTCTGGTTCTGCGCTGGAAGAGGCCACATGAGTATCGTCCCTACAAAGTGTGGATTGGCATTCCTATTGTCATGGTGATGATTTCGTGCTACCTTATTATTGCCCCTCTGTTTGCCAAACCTCAGTCATCATTGTTTGCTCTGGCATTTGTTCTATCTGGTGTACCAGTTTACTTTATTTTTGTCAACCGCAATAATTAGCATTGCTGAGGGAAAAGTGCATCTGTTAGCTCAGTCAAGTAGCAAAGTATCAAAAATATCAAAAATATCCAAATGCTAGAGAGTTGTACATTCATTTGTTAGGCTCAAAGTTACAGTAGGTTGAGTGAAGTAAGGAACAGAAAAATGTAATTTTTTGGTCTTTGTGCGATACAAATCAATGGTAACGCGATTAACTGATGACTAGTCATAACGTATGTTAATCACTCACGATTTGTAGCCGAAGTTTAGATTAACGTAATCAGAATCTCCCTACAACTCATGGCACGTCCTTCTTGGTAGTTAGATTTGGAAGGAAAGAAAATTGCATGTGTTTTCAATTGTGATCTGAATCGGCGAATCGGGTCATATCGATGACGTGAATTGTTGTAATCGTTACTTGTCAGTAAAATAATCGCAGACATGAAAGTGTGGTGGCCCAGACTTCTAACGAAATTCGTTTCGATAGATATTTTCTCTTATTTCTCATCAACCAAGGGGAATGATGCGCAATTCGTGCGAGACTTGTTTGTGTCCCTTTATCAGTTAAGGCTCGTGCAAAGTTTCTTCCCTAACATAAGCCCGGTCCATCGGGGAACATGTTTGGTGACGCTCACGCATAAAAGTTGAACATATTCCATAGGATAATTTACTTTTGGAATCGATTCCAGTGCATTTACTTGGGATCTGTGACGAAATACTGTTAGAAGTATGCTGGCATAAATTACCAATTGAACTTGTCACAATGAGCGCGCCACTAATGATTATATAACGATACGCGCATTCGGGATGTAGTCGGTTATTTCTTCGGGTTTTGAACATGTAATTGCTCGGTTTATGTTGAAGTAATAAAAAGGCTTTTTAACCCAAACTTATCGTTACAGGATCCATTGATTTCTCGACTATCGGCTTTTTGTTGAGCACAAGGAGAGGATATCAAAGGTGAGGCCAGGGGGTCCTGATCCCGTTCTACGCTCGAATTTCTTAGGAGAATTTACGCGTCACATGCACTTTAATTAATATTAAAAGGAAAAACTTCAAATCTCACCCTATTTTGCCTTTCTATTAAATTCACGCGTCACAATCATTTTGGGCATAATCACGCGTCTCGTAGTAAACCTTTGCCAACCTCTGAAGATCCTTGCGAAGACTCCCATCATGTTCAAATGTATTAATTTTCCTTATATTGCCTGTGTTCTTACTTTTAACGACGGAACATCATAAGTAGCATGGAAAAATAAGTGCTTCGGTTTAACCACTCGTTTTGTGGACCAGTTGATGGAGACAAATGGTTTCCAGGAATGCGCTGTGCCTGAAAGCTGTTGGAGACGAGGATTAAAAAGAAAGAAAACCGCTGTGACATGCAACGCCGATGACCAGAAAAATCCTTTTAAGAAAAAGGTGGCGATGACAAATGGCCAGTTAACGTCCGAACAGTATCTAGCAGAGAATAAGACATTTCGTGGCCGTCAATATTACTGAAAAGAATCAGATTTTCTTTGAACATACAACAGAGGTGCGACTACTAGGCTAAACCATGACGTGTGAATTTCCAGTGGCAAATTATTACGACGTTGAACTACAAAGAGTAGAGTAAAAGGGTTTTACATAGGCTACCAACGAAGGAACCCGCTTGTTCTCTAAAAGGAAACGGAAGCAAAGCGAGCAAGCGCAAAAGTTATAAATTAGCCAAACGTTGAAGTATTGAGGTGAAAAATAAAATATCGTAAAACAGATGTTGGTTTGGAAAGAAGGGGTAATCATCCCAAATATGTTTCCCAGACTCTTCTTTGTACTATCTGAACTGATGTTATTATATGTCGTTCAAAAGATTCAAAGGAATGTAGATGAGGTATTCCTTGAGGAAAAGAAAAACATCATAATCTAATGACACTGATTGATCGTTTATCTCAAGAGAGCAGAGATGTAAAAACAGCATTTCATCAATATAAAGCCTTATTCTGTTAAAAACAGGATTTTCTTCAAAGTAACTTATTTCTGTGGGAACGCTTGCTGACCTCACTTGCAATACCAAATGTATTCGTAAGATAGATGTGTTCAAAGGGTGGGTGAGTTCAGAAATGTCTTCACAGGGTCCTTTATACATATTACTTTGACCTTTAGGAAGACGGTAGAAAATTAAAAAAGGTATTTCCTGGAGTAGTCTCGGACGAGACAATAAAACCACCATAAACTTGGTATTACTTTTTAAGCACCCCACAAAAGCACAGTGTTTTTATTTGTATTTACACATGCAACCAGCGTCCCGTTGGTTATGTTGTGGAAATTTCAGCTTCAGCAAAGGCAATTCATTGATTGAATGAACCAAAACTAGTTTGGCAAAAATTTCAACGCGAAGAGCGTTAGTAATACGGTAAAAGGGGAAAATATCTTTCATTTAAACGCTGTTTCAGCAGAGAAGGTTATCGAAGAACGTAGTATAGCTACGATAATCACAGTAAAGCCGATGTTCTCTATGTTGACTTTCAAACGGGAACAACAGGTTTGTCGGTCAATATCATACTCATATGAGTAATTGATGGACAGCAGACAGAAACTTTATATACAGTCAGAATATATGGTGAACAAGTCAAAGAAAGCTGAACAAGTCAAATGCTCATCACCAAAGAATGGGATGTAGTGAGACATTACGCTTATCACAGCGTTTGATCCTGATTTGGAGAATTACTTGGATAGCTTTATAGGTAAGTTCAGAATAAATGAAATTGCACCATTAGAGTCTTCAAATTGAATTTGTAGCATGTGCGCTGGTATCGTTCATACTATTTTCTATTATTGTGTCACTGTAGTAACACGAAATGAAATGTTTTCTGTTAAAAGTTTGTTTTTTTAGATAGATAAAAAACCTCAGCTTTGTCTGGATAAAGAAATTACTCTATTGTGATCTTTTTTCATTTTTTTTTCCACAGAGAACAGCAACAGCTTATCATGAATAGAGTTGAAAATGCGGTGAGCTTATTACATTTGATATTCTTATATGTTACACGCACGTGAACACTGCATTTCATGATGAAGCTGCGTTTAAGTTTATAATGACACAGTACATGCAATATACTTTTAACTTTATTGATTGTTAAATTCATGATAATGATTGTTGTTAGTGTTTTCGTGTAGTTTATACTGGTCAGCCAACTGTAAAGATCGTCACTAAGTAAACACTCGGCACATGATTTGTAGAGCCGGCTGACCTATAGTACAACTCCATTGTTCTTATTGATTATCGGTCACTGCAAGAGTTTCCTTAAAAACTTTGAACTAAATATTTGATCAACAATAGCTGATGCACGCAAAGTGACTCAACTGCAAATCTTAAACACGCTACTTTTTTTATATTGCTTATTTCAAAACAATCCACAAAGAATAATCTTTTAAAGAAAATTATCACACTATTGCCAAAATTTAGCGGCAACATGTCCAAACAAATAGCGTGTTATCAAGTCAGAATGCCTAAATGAGTGGTTTCTTTGAGATATCCTAAGACATTTTATGGATTGTTCTCGTCGACCTTTGGACGTAGGTTTTGAGTTTTTTAAATGTCATTTTAAAACCTCAATAATGTTTTAGCATGTTTCGTTATGTTATAGCATGACAGTTTTGCCATCCTCTGCTTTCATGAAATCTTGAGTTTTCGTAGCTATCCCAAGCCTCTTCCGGTTTTCAGTTGCTGCAGTGATTCTGTTCTAGGGTAGGGAATTTTGAAAGATTTAACAGCAGTGACAACTTCAGTAGTTTTTCAATGCTGAAAATTCTGAAGGTAAACTTTCTCTAATGCGTTAATTTTCTTCAATAAATTGAACCACTCGTGTCCCATTATGCTGTTTCGACTCATGTACAATGCAGAGAAAAGACGGTCTGAAAACCAAGTGCTCGCCTTAAAAGGCTTTCACATTAAAGTAGACGAGAATTTTTAGAATTGACGCGATAAAATAAATGACTTAATAGATACAGCATATGGATACCAAATTGATTTTATAATTGCCAAATTGCAAGCGATTATAGGCGTTTAGGTTTCTTGGTTCCTAGTGTGTTGGAGCTTGGTGAAGGTATCAGAGCTTGTGCAAAATCAGAGTCCGACCCATGAGTTCGGAAAGATTTTGATGTTATTTTTAATTTTCAAAATGTTCCCTTTTTATCTCTAGAGTTGATTCATCATTTAGATTTATCTCAGATTTTCGCAGCATATGAGATTCACCGTATATTCCTTCATCAATGTAATTCTACAATGTATCTCAGTAAGTCCGTCACTGACTGAGTAACATTGTTATTTATATTTATAGTCTGGCTTAGCCTAAGAAATTTGTAACTTCTGAGTCAATTTTATTTTGTATTTCAGGGAATCAAGACATTAAAACTTTTATTCTATTGAGGGAATTAATTTCCTTCCCTTTTTTCCAATCGTCATGCCCAGTTAGTAGTGTTTCTTTGTCTCCCCAGATAATGTTTGTTTCCAAGTTTTACCAGAAACCAAAGCCTAAGACAAACATGAATCACAGAGGGGATCAAAAGGAGGAGAAACAGCAACAACGAGGAAAAATCAGCTACAACAGTAACAACAACAAAAATAAAAAAAGAAACAAGCCAAAAGGTATAGTTCCTCCCTATAAGTAACTGACAAATCTATTTTTTGCTATTGATCGATGCGACTCATAATTGCTCCCTTCTTATTCACATTTCACCACAGTTTTTTTGGACGTTTCAAAGACCACTTTCGTGTCACTTCATAAATTTCCCTGAGAGCCTTGATGATGAACGCGGTATGTGAACTAAAAACTCACTTTGGCCCTTTAAGTGTTTTTTTCACCTACCCTTCACTAAATTTTACACACGGTCAGCTGACTCTGTAAAATCTACACACAGCTTCCTCCTTTCTAGTACTCGTTAGAACGAATGAGCGCGAAGCACCAGCGACTGGTAACGCGCCCACTGTTTATTCAACATAGAGACGTTTAGGTAGGATCGAGGCATAGTGGAGCGGGTGATACATCAAAGTGTGGTTGACATCGATGCACAGATATGTTTCTCTTAGAGTGTACAATTTTGGAAAACTTACTGTCAACAACCGTTATGTGTATCCCCATACAGCTAGACAAATCAGTAATTTTTGGCGCTGTTTCTTGACACTTTTGACACCTGCGTTCTGACATAGGAAACTTTAAAGCCAAATGTCATCATGTTTGAAAAATTAGAAAATTAAAAAAATTAGAAAGCTTAACTCGCTACCCAATAGCCATTCTTTCAAAATGGTTAGATATGATTCGTAGCTCAATATTCTAAGACAGTTAATTGACTGCCTCATCAGGTCACAAGATCACTCGTCAATATTTGATTGAGAGCTGGCCCCTAAGCTTTTTGAGACGGTGCCCCTCTATGGGGCATTTCATTTCAACTCGCATTTCGTCCTTGTTGAT